TGTGGCTCCCTTAGTGCAGGAGGGTCCCCACTGTTACCCAGCTGACCAATGCTCGAGTCTGGACAGGGACTTGGCACTGATTCCAGGCAGACAGTTGTCTGAGAATCAAGTCTAAGATGAGGTCTGGGTTCCTCTGGGACCCTTCAGTGTCTAGACATTTGTTTCTCTGTCCCTGGGAGGACTGTGTTGCCAGGCTCTGAGCTGAGGCACTGGGGTCGCTGTCCACAGGGAGTGCATAGTCTGGCAAGGCAGATAAGTAGCCAGGCAGTTAGCAGTGGGTAGTGAGAGCACACAACAGAGACACTTGACTGCACGTGGGATCTGGAGGATCTCCCTGAAGAGGTTGACTAATAGCCCAGTGGAGGGCAGCAGACTAGTGGTGAATGTCATGCAGCTCTAAGCCCAGCAGTCAGGGTGAACTGGGCCTCTTCAGCTGCCAGTCTCCAGGAGATGATGCTAGCTCCCAAGCCAGCATTCAGGCTTCCCCGTTCTCTGGTGGTACTTAGACCTGAAACCTGGTAGTTCTCTCTGTCTGCTCATTCCAGGTTCCGCAGACTTTCCTAACCAGCCCAGTCTTGTCTCACCTTTGACTACACCGGTCCTTGATTTCAATTCTAGCTTCTCCCTTCCTTTAACCAGTTCTCTGCATGACCTGATGAATTTGAATTACCATGTGCCTTTTCCCCTAAAAACCTTTGCTAGTGTCCCATCACTCGAACTGGAGTACTTTAAGGCCCCTTTGGGTAGCTTTTTGTATTAAAAGGTCAGCAGCTTTAGGATCTCTCTAGAACAAGATAATGTAGAAAATACTTGTTAAACTTTGTATCTGGGTTTAGACCTTTTGGTAGGCTGGAGAGACTGCTGGAGGCCCTCTCTGCCTCTCCCTACCTGATGTCTTGAAGAATGACTAAATTTTCCCATTACTGTAAAACTCTAGGCCTTTTCCGTGTCGGTCTTTCCTTTCCAACAAAGCAGAGTTTGATATCCTGCCTGTGGAATCAGGGAAGATCTGTGGTAAATTCCCTCATTTTTCTTTCTCCATTTAAGACGCAAAATTCTGAAAGTTTTTCTCTTCTGGAAAAACTTGCCCTGGAGCCCTGTCTGCAGCTGTCTCCTGTCTACAGGGCAGTGCAAGGGTGCACATGCCCTGCCCCCGCCCCCCCAACCCTCCATGGATCATTGCCTGGAAGAAGAGCCAAGCTTGGTGGGGATCATTTGTGATCTGGTCTGGGTGAACTGCGCCAGTTGATTCCCAGGAGTTCTTTCGATGCCCTCCGATTCATAAATGATAAAAAATTGGTGACACTGCTCTTTTTCTCTTGGTAAGGATAATGATTGCATGGAAATATTAAGCTGCTTTTGTGAATTTGAATTGTAATTCTCAGCAGTTGTTGAGTGTTTACTGTGTGCTAGGCACTCTCACTGTCTTCTAAAAGTGTTCCAGTGGTCCTGTACAGTAACTGCCTTTGGTTTATACAAAGGAGGCCTAAGTTCACAGGGCTCTTCAAAAGGCAGAGTAGGCAGGGATTTCAACCCAAGTCTAGTAATTTAAGTCTCTTGTGCTCGACAGCGGGACTATCTGGTTTTCCTAGGAAATGTTTGAATGAAGGGGTGTTCCACACTTGAAAGCTGAGGCTCATCCCCAGGAGTTAGACCACTCTACCCATCTGGGCACCTGCCATGCTTTCCTTCCATCCCCATATTAGCTCCTCTGTCCTGCCATTCCTCAGCCACCTTATTTCTGTCCTTTGTTTCCTTTCTTTATTAATCAGCATTAGTGGATTAGCTTCTGCTCCTCACCACTCAGAATCATCTGTTTTTAAGTAAAGATGGTGAGTTTGCCATGCATATACAGCTTCAGGAAACTGCCTCTAGTGCCCCTACCTCTACTAAATTCAGATTGCTTCTTGCACATGGACATTTTGGTGTGCTTCACTTTTAACAAATGCATGTATGTGTTACGGAAGCCTTTGACCCTAGAGTTAGAGCCAGTACTGGCTCCTGGCTGATGATGGTCCTGTGGGACAGAAAGTGCTTTTCTTCCTATTCCAGATACCCTTTAGCCTCTGATATGCCTTAGTTAAGGAGGAAGACCCTCCTAGGGCCTCTGTCTGCCATCTTCCCCCCTGGAATCCTGGGCCCCAGATCTATGGACAGGTAAGCCAGCTGGGCCCTGCCTGGGCCTGCCTTTCCACACTTGCCCCTCCCTCTCTGAGGACTGCTTCCTTGCCATCGCCAGGAAGCACTCTAATACCAGGGAGTTTTTTGACCCATTCCTGACACAGTGAGCTACTGGAATTCCCAGTGAGCTGGTAGGAGTATTGGCCAAGGAGTGGAGACTTGGAGCTCCCATCCCTGGGAAGCCTCTTCCCCTTTTGCAGCCTCAGTTTTCTGTCTACAAATAGAGAAGATCAGAACTATGGTCCTTTTTGCTGCTCTGACATTCTTTCACCGTTTTCTTGGGCAAATGAATAGTGGTGTTCCTTGAGATGGGCTTGGGTCAATGGTGGCAGACACAGGTTTTAGAATGTAGAAGTGGAAGGAAAGGACTTGTGTCCTGACTATATGGGATGGCGCTGTTCATGGGGATTGGTGTCTGCACAAAAGAATGGGTTTTGTTGGAAACCATTTCAGATACCAAGCCCTACTAGACCTGTGTATTCTCTTTGTGGGGGTGAATATGCACACAAGCTGGCACACGCAGTGGGTGGCTGAGAGAGGACCCAGAAAGGGATATATGATTTAAGTCAGAAAACCTAGCCTCCTGTAGTGCTGACAGCAGCTCATCTGAGTCTTCTTGGGTTTTCGTGAGGCCCCACATGATTTTAACAGAATTTTATGCAAGGGCTGAGAGGGTTTTCTCTCGATAGTGGATTTTGCTGCTGCTTTGGTGGCTTTGTTCTCCTTGTCAGGCAGTCTGAAGCTCTAGCTGGAAGCTAAGCAAGAGCAGGGCAGCATGGATCCTAGGGACAGGGCTTGGGTATAGAGCTTTTTCAACTCCACATAGGACTCAGGTAGGAGTATGCCTGCATATACCCAGACCAGCTTCATTCCACTCATTAGTTTAGGATTGCTGGTGGAGGAGAGAATCAGCAGGGCCTTCTTATGGCAGGGGGTCCCTTACATTGACTGGAGACTAAACTTTCAGTGCTTTACCATGTTCCATTGTGATCTTGATAAACAAAATGTTGGGCAGGGTGGTCACAATATGTGTCTCTTTTTAGTTTTGAAAGTCTTTTAATAAGAAGAAACAAAAAAGACTATTGACCTGAAAAACTGCCCCACCTTTTCAGGGAAAGTGTTCAGAACACTTTGCCCCTGAACCCGATTCCCTTTCCAAACTTCCTATTACAGGCCCTTTGGCTTGCTTGCATGAGTGCAGTATTGTTGAGGACTGGGAGAAATGACCAGCATGGCATGGATATACACTATCCTGGCCCTGAGGCAAAGCAGGTGAAGATCTTTAGCCTAATTAGATCTACAACTACCCGTTCGTTCCCTGTCTGGGTCAACTTAGGAGTTATAGGTCTCGGGGTTTAGAGCTGCCTGATGGGCCTGAGGCCTCCATCTTCTTGGGACTAAGATACCGTGTTTCTCTACTGCCAGTGCTGGGGGTGAGGGATGCTATGGGTTGGGCCTCACTGCATCAGATATCAGAAGGCATGTGGTATGGGGTACAATGAGGGGGCAGTGACTGGCGGAAGCCAGGAATGCTTGGGCTGCACAATCAGTCGGGCAAGGACACTCTCTACTCATTAAGAGAACATGGGTCTGATCAAGGAGTAGAACATTCCTTTTGAAGCCAGATGAGTAGATTTCTCTGGTCAGGGACTAGGGGCAGCTCTTGCCCTGGTATGGCTGGCCAGCAGTGCAGAGAAAGTGAGGGGAGAAGTGGGTGAGTAGAACCCCAGGATGAATCTTTTCCTGTGGTCTCTGGAGCAGGAAGAGGCAGAAACCTTTGGTCTTCAGACATGCTGAGAAAATAAGTGTGGTTGTATAAGGTACTTTTAGAACCATTTCCTTTTCAAAAAAAGGGGGGGAAAGGACATGTTTCTTTAAAAAAAAAAAAGAGTTCATATCTACTTTTGTACAAGAATTAAAATCACTGTAAATACACTACTTCATTCGTGATAACACTCATGTATCCTCCCTGAGTTTTTACTTTGAGTGTGCAAATGCACATTTTAATTTGTTTAACAAAAAAGAAATGATTCTCATTTATTGTGCTCGTCTTGTCATACATATAGAGATATTCTCTTTTTAATGACAGGTGTAAAAATGGATGATCTTAAATTTATTTGGACAGTTACTATCAGATTTATAGAGTGCTTCTAATTTTTTGAAGTTATAAGTAACGCTTTGTTGGTCTTTCTGAACAGTTTTTTTCTGATTTGCCTCATCAGGATAAAATTTTACTGGTGGAAGTATCAAGTCAAATGGGAGCCCACTTTTTCTTTGGAAACTTGAGAGTCTCGCTGTTTATAAGATGTTGAGGACAAATATGGTCCCTGGACTTGATTGCCTTTTTTATCTTGCCTTCCCAATGATCACTAGCTCTGGTCTGTTCACACAATTACTTCTAGAATGTTAGGGCCAGAGAGATCTTTCAGATTCTGACTCTGAATCTGCTGTGATTTGGGAGCCCTGAATTAAAGTGCTAGTTTGGGCATGGATTTCCCTCAGGCCCAGGCCCCATTTTTATAGTAGGGTGTTGACTTGAGCCCTGAAAGGGCTCTCCCACCTCAGAGTCTGGGTTTCTGGGTTTTGACAGCCAACTCTTTGCATGATCTCTCTTTCTATGATTTCTTCAGGGAAGGGCTGGTACAAATGTTACTGGTGCTTGATCTCATCGATCTCATCTCTCCTCTGTCCACTCTGACTTCTTCCTCTGGGAATCTGAAGGTTGCCTGGTTGAGTAAGGATGGTGGTGAGGGCGAGGAGTTGGCAGTGGCCCTTCACAGGCTTTGCATAACCATTTTCTCTCTGCCTTGTTCCCACAGAACATTCTGCTCCAGCCAAGGTGGTGAGGGCAGCTGCTCCTAAACAGCGAAAAGGCAGCAAGGTAGGAAATGGCATGGGTAGGCCCTGGGGAGTCACTTGTGGCACTGCAGTGCAGTGCATTCTTTACCCTTGTAAAGAGTGCTTCTGGACTGCCAGGTACTGCTGGCTGCTCTACAGATAGCAGGGGAATGCTTTCTGGGCCCCAGGATGGATGGTCCTAATGAATAGACTGATTTGGCTCTTGATCTCTCCTCTCAGTAGAGCTGGACCTTGAGTGAGGGGCTGAATGGCAGAGGCAGGGTCACCCTAGGGCCCTCATAGAATGTTCCTTACAGGTTGGTGATTTTGGAGATGCAATCAACTGGCCCACACCTGGAGAGATAGCCCACAAGAGTGTGCAGGTGAGACCGGGAAGGGATGGGCAGATTTGAACTCTGTTTGGCTTCACAAACTTTCAAAACCTTGGGTTTTACCTTTCTTAATTTTTAAAAAAAGGGGGTAGTTGGGGACTGGGGTTGTGGCTCAGTGGTAAAGCACTTGCCTAGCATGTGTGGAGTACAATACAACATAAAAATAAATAAAGGTATTGTGTCCATCTACAACTAAAAGGGGAGTGGGTAGTTGGTTGGGCATGGTGGTAAGCACCTGTAGTCCCAGCTACTTAAGAGGCTGAGGCAGGAAGAGGATCATTTTAGTCCAGGAATTTGAGGCAAGCCTGGGCAACATAAAAATAAATAAATAGTCGTTACTATAATATGGGCGACATTAAAATAGCTAGGCATTCTCATTATTTGAGCCAGTGCCTTCTATTATGGACTGCCAGATACTGTCTGATCATCCTCTCTAAGTCTTCAGCTCTTGGTGGCTTGTGGGAATTGGCTATCAAATATGTTGCTGTATTCCAAAGCCTGTCTTCTCTATCACTGCACTTGCATTTCCTATAAGCAACACAGGAGAGGATATATTAGGCCAGGTACTGACCTCCAACTTGGGGAAGCTTATGTAGCTCTTCTAGTCAGTTGTCTTCTTCTTAGCACTTGTAACCTAAATCCCTTGTTCACTGGCTGTGACCACTTTGAGTGGGTGAAGTCCTTATTCTGGAGCTGATGTAGGTAGGCCAGGGGCCAGCATCTATTCCACCACACAGACTACCAGAACCACATGGTAGTCCCTATTGCAGGGAATAAACATTAGGCTCCTGGGCATTGTCTTTGACATTAGACACAGGTAAGCCTGAGAGACAAGTTGTCTTTCCCACCTCCTGGCCTGTGTGAATTTGCTTTCAGTAAAGGCATCTCAAGTGTGGAAGTAGGGTCTTAGGTTGTATCTAGTTTACCTGCCATCACATGCTGTTGCTCCTCTGCCTACCTTTCTAGTGACAGGAAGCTCTTCCACTCATCCCAAAGGCTCTCCTACACACGCTCACTTCCTATTGCCTTACTTTCTGCTGTAGCCACAGTCTCACAAGCCTCAGCCTGCCCGTAAGCTGCCACCCAAGAAGGACATGAAAGAACAGGAGAAAGGAGAGGGGAGTGATAGTAAGGAGAGCCCGAAAACCAAATCAGATGAATCCGGGGAAGAGAAGAATGGGGACGAAGACTGCCAGCGAGGCGGGCAGAAGAAGAAAGGTGAGTTGAGCAGGACTTGAGAGGAGATGGCCACACAGAAATGAAATGGGGACTGCTGAGTGCTGTGGCACGTTCCTATAATCCCAGCAACTTGGGAGGCTAGGTGAGAGGATCACAAGTTTGAAGCCAGCCTCGGCCATTTATTGAGGCCCTAAGCATTTTAGTGAGACCCTGTCTCAAAGTAAAAATAAAAGACTGGGGACGGTAACTGTGTTGAATCCCCACTACCAGTTAAAAAAAGAAGAAGAAGAAGAAGAAGAAGAAGAACTCTGAGGACTGCTGGAGGATTTTTAGATCCAGCAGAAGGCTGATTGCTGTAGCCATTGAGATAATAGTATTCTCTGTGGCTGTTGGTCCATTAGTTCACCCTCTTGAAGACAGGAATTTACATTGCTTTTTTAAGAGTTTCCAAAAAATTGCTGAAATGGTTCAGATACAGATTCAGCTTTTCCAGTAGAGATCCAAAGTAAAAATGGTTTAAATAAGATAAACGTTGGTTTCTCTATGGGTACGGTGGTGCATGCCTTGTAATTCCAGTGGCTCGGAGGTCGGAGCAGGAGGATCATGAATTCAAAGCCAGCCTCAGCAAAAGCAAGGTGCTAAGCAATTCTGAGATTCTGTCTCTAAATAAAATACAAAATAGGGCTGGGAATGTGGTTCAGTGGTCAGTGCCCCTGAGTTCAATCCCCAGCCCCCCACCTACCCACCCCCACAAAAAAAAATGTTGGTTTATCTCTCAGAACGTTGGTGTCAGTCAGCCAGGCCTAATACTACAACTCCTGCCTGCTTTCCTTTTGCAGCAGTGCCTTGGCACTTCAGCATCCAAGATGGCTCCCTATTTCCTGCTCACTCTAGCTAGCAGGAAGGGAGAGAGGGAAGGACAGCTCTTTTCCTTGTAGGTACTCCACCTGGAATTGGCTCCTTTATTTCACAGGCAGGATTTTGACATGTGTCTGAAGAGAACCTAGAAAGTGTAGTTCTTTATCATCCTGGGTAACCATGTTGATGACTCTAAAAGTTTGTTCTCAGACTCTGTAGAAATCAACATTGAGAGTTAGCCAGGAGTCTCCATCACACTGAAGGCCATGGACCTCCTTACTTTAGAGATGAAAAAGAGGTCTGGTGTGTGGGAAAGGAATCTGCCCGAGGTCACCAAAATGTGATTTAAGCCAAAGCCCAGGGCAGCGGGAAAGTTGGGCAGCAAAATCCTCTCTCAAGCCTTTTTCATGTGTTCATGCTGTCCTCCAGGGAATAAACATAAGTGGGTTCCCCTGCAAATAGACATGAAGCCCGAAGTTCCCAGAGAGAAACTTGCCTCACGCCCCGCTCGCCCGCAGGAGCCAAGACATACACCTGCCAACCGAGGGGAGATCAAAGGTACACAACTGTCCACTATAGAGGGCCTGGACTTGGGAGATAACCTCAGGCCTGACCTGTTGCTCACTCTCCCCTCTAGGGTCTGAGCCTGCCACCTATATGCCTGTGTCTGTGGCCACCCCCACCCCAGCCTGGCAACCAGAGACCAAACCGGAGCCTGCCTGGCACGACCAGGACGAAACATCGAGTGTGAAGAGTGATGGGGCTGGTGGGGCGCGGGCTTCCTTCCGTGGCCGTGGACGGGGGCGTGGTCGCGGCCGGGGACGCGGCCGGGGTGGCACTCGAAGTACGTGAGGCCCCTTTGGGCTCCGGGATGTCCAAGGGAATGCGGCGGGGGTGGTGGGCAGGAATATTCTTTTTCTCACAGCACCCATTTCCCCGTAGCCCATTTTGACTACCAGTTTGGCTATCGAAAGTTTGATGGTGCAGAGGGGCCTCGAACCCCCAAGTACATGAACAACATTACCTACTACTTTGACAATGTCAGCAGCACTGAGCTTTACAGCGTGGACCAGGAGCTGCTCAAAGACTACATCAAGCGACAGATGTGAGTGTTGAGGGGAGCAGGGCTGCTGAGAACTGGGCGGGAGGTGAGGGGCTTCCAGTGGGTTGCAGCTGGCAGGCAGAGTAGGGAGTGCTCCCTTGGTGGCTAGCACAGCTAGGTGACTTTTCTCTTGGTCTTTCATCTGACTTTTCATAGTTAATTGTTGATTACTGAAGTAAAACCATATTTACCTTAAGGAAATTTGAAACTACCACTAATGAAAAGGAGGAAAGATGCCTAGAATCTGCCCACTACTGTGCCTCCATTGGTAATGAAAGCACTGACTGAATGCTAGCAAATGTTTATATATAGAGTTCTCACTATTGGCCAGGCTCAGTGAAGTATTTTATAGGCATTATCTTATTTTATACTGTGATCTTTTTTTTTTTTTTTCAACTGCTGAATTCCTGTGAGTTGGGTCTTTTGTCCCCATTTTATAGGTGAGCAAACAGGACCAGTACACAGCAAGTATTTAACAGTGCAGATCAGAATCCATTTCTGTCTGGTTGCAAAACCTTTGCTCTTAACCACTCTAATATATAGTCTCACTGAGCTTGGAGAACCCATACAAGGAAGTAGATAATTGCAGTATGGTATTACAAGTGTTTTAGGAGCAAAAGAGAAAGTGGCCAACTATATTGGAAACTGGATTTAAAGAGAGATGAGGAGTTTGCCAGTCATGCCAAGGGACTGAAGGGCAGAGAGAATGATTTGATCTAAAGTTAGTGGCCATTGAAGGTATAGCCTCATTTCTTTTCAGCCCTTATACGGTAGGAGAGAGGCAGGACAGGTGAGAGGCAGTGTGAAGGGGGCTGGGGTGGATAATGAAGCAGGGAAGGTATATTGATGAATTATGCTTCAGTTGCTTAGTGATGCCTCTTCTCCCCTCCACTTAGTGAGTACTACTTCAGCGTGGACAATTTAGAGCGAGATTTCTTCCTGAGAAGAAAAATGGATGCTGATGGTTTCCTTCCCATCACCCTTATTGCTTCCTTCCATCGTGTGCAAGCCCTTACCACGGACATTTCACTTATTTTTGCGGTATGTCTTTCTCCCTGGGGTTAGGGTACTGCGGAAAGAGAGGTCCTTACTTAAAGAGCTGAAGTTTGGAGCTGAGGCAGAATCCTCCGGAAGAGGTCCCTATTTAATATCACTAGATACCAATCAGTTTCAGATTCATCCTAATTGTTCCCCCTCAATTTTTTTGAAAAATAGTTTTTGAATATCAGGATTCATATAAGACCCATAAATTGTTTTAAGTTTTCTTCTCCCTCTTTTTTCTTGGCAGTTTATCATTTGAATAAACCAGGTTGTTATCTTGTAGGATTTGCCACAGAATAGAGATGTCATTTAACATGTTAATGTGGCTGGGTACAGTGGTGCACACATGCCTGTTATCCTATCAACTCAGGAGGCTGAGACAGGGGGATCACAAGTTCAAAGCCAGCCTCCGGCACTAAGCAACTCAGTAAGACCCATCTCTAAATAAAATGCAAAATAGGGCTGGGATGTGGTTCAGTCGTCGAATGCTTCTGAGTTCAACCCCTGGTACCAAGGGTAAAAAAAAAAAAAATGCTAATCTATACTACAGTTTTTTGTAAATTGGTGACCTGAAGGCATGATGAGGTTCAGGTTTTTGGAGTTGTTGTTTTTTTTTTTTTTTTCCCCCTCTTGACAAGGCTGTTACATAAATAATGTGTTTGCTTCAGGTGACTCAACATTTCTTCTGTTTGTCCCTCTTGTAACATAAGCTGCTATTAACTATCACTGTGTATTATTTCATGAGGAATTACAAAATGGTGATACTCTGTCAGTATTCATTTATTAGCTATAATACCTTTTTGAGGAGAAACTTGCTTCATCAGTTATTCAGTTACTACGAGGTTGTACAGGGAGGGCAGGTTTTTTTTCATTGTTTTTCCTTTTGTTAAGTTTACAGAAGTATGAATTGATTTCTAATACACTTGAGGGTTGACTAATGAGAGTTTTTTTTTTAATTTGTTTTTGAAGCATAAGCATGTGAATTTTTATTTTAGTCCATTGCAGTTATTGTTAGATCATATTGTTCCATATTTACTTGGCCAATGGGATTCTCATTCATCTTGTACATCTCCTGTTCCAGACCTAAAATGGCTTTTAAATTTTTTTTTAAATAAAAGAACTCTAGTTCCTTTTGGGTGGGGGAAATAATATTTAGAAACCATAGTCTGAGTTACAGGGATGCTTATTGCTACTTGATTGATCATTTTTTCTAGAGATTTGTTTTTGTAAGAAGTAGTATATTTTGAGAATATACTGTAAAATTCAGGAGTGCAGGATCTTTATCTAATCCTAACAATCTTATATATCTTCTTTCTACTCTGCCAAAAATACCTAATGGTATCAGCATAATTATTTGTTTTATTCCACAGTGTATACACATTCTTACACTAATATCTCTACTACCACTGAATTTTATTTTCCTTCTTCGATTTATGTGACTATTTTCAGTTATATGAAATAACCTGTGTGATTATAAACTCATTCATGAAAGTTTAAATTCTTTTTTCCCATATTTTTATTGATACATTATAATAGTACATGATAGTGAGATTCATTGTGTTTGGACATGCACACAATATAGCAATATAATTTGGCCAATATCGTTCTTAACATTCTGTCACTTCCACCTTTTTTTTCTCTATCTTCCCCTCTAGGTAACCTTTTCTGAATTCTTCCAGCACCAGCAAAATTGAGGTGCTAAGCAATTCAGTGAGACCCTGTCTCTAAATAAAATACAAATTAGTGCTGGGGATGGGACTCAGTGGTTGAGTCCCCCTGGGTTCAATCCCCAGTACCAAAGAAAGAAAGAAAGAAAGATATTTCTCATTTCTGTCCTTCACCCATGCTGCATGTTTTTTGTTTTGTTTTAACCTGTTGCCTGGTATGGACATTTTGTTTCTAGTATTTTTTACTAAGACACAAACTGCATTGGTGTTAACAAATAGTTTTGTGTATTTCCTTTTTCATATTTTTACCAATGTGTCTTTGCTGTAGGTTTCTAGAAGTAGGACAGCTAAATTAAAGGTGAATGCATATTTAAATTTTACTTCCTTTTTTAGGGAATGTGCCTTTTGCATTTTCACCAGCAAGTTATGAACGCACCTTTCCCCACCTTACAAACACACTATTTTTTCACAGGTTGAAATTTTCCCTTTTTCACTTTGAAGATTTTTTAAAAATATTTTTTAGTTGTCAGTGGACCTTTATTTTATTTATGTATGGTGCTGAGGATTAAACTCAGTGCCTCTCACATGGCTAAGCAAGTGCTCTGCCACTGAGCCACAACCCCAGCCCCTCACTTTGAAGATTTTTTTTAAATTTTTTTTTCTTTTTTAGCCAATTACAGTGGCACATGCCTATAATCATAGCAACTAGAGAGGCTGAGGCAAGGAGGATCCCAAGTTCAAGACAGAAGTCATCAATTTAGTGAGGCCCTAAGCAACTTAACATGACCCTGTCTCAAAGTAAAAAGGACTGAAGATGTGGTTCAGTGGTAAAACACTCCTAGATTCAATCCCTAGTACACACATTCCCCTGCTCCCCCCTCAAAAAATAAGCTTTTTAAATAGACAATTTTCTTCTCCATTCTAATCTTCATTCTTTTTCTCAGAGATAATGCCCATAGCAGTTTACTTGTGAATCCTAGAAAAATTTATGTGTATATACTTGTTTTTACATAAAAACTGTAAAAGGGATCTTGCACATAGTAGCCAACTCCTGCTTTTTCAACTTTAATATATTTTGTGTCTTTCTATTTCTCCATATGTAAAGCTGTTTGTTTAGTGTCAGAGTAGTGTTCCACTGAATGGATATGCCATAATTTATTTGAATTGTTAACATGATGGCAAGTTAAATACTTTTTAGGTATTTTTCCTGTATTACTGTGAATGGCCTCTTGTCTAAATCTAAAAACATACAGATCCCTGTGTGTGCAAGTATTTGCTAGATTACTGGAAGTAGAATAGCAAGGTCAGTGGGTAGGTGTGGTTCGCATGTTGGTATCCCCCTACAAATTTGAAGATCTTATCTATCTGCCAGTCAGGGAAGAAGGTGCTAGTTTTATAACATTACTGTTTGCACTGGCTTTAATACCTAAGCCTATGGGGACCCAGTTGTCCCATCATCTCCAGGATCTCTGACTGTTCTTGTCTTTCCTCTTCATTCCTTTTCCCTCCTCCTTTCCTATAGGCCCTCAAGGACAGCAAGGTGGTGGAAATTGTTGATGAGAAAGTCCGAAGGAGGGAAGAGCCTGAGAAGTGGCCTCTTCCTGGTCCCCCAATAGTGGATTATTCCCAGACTGATTTTTCCCAGCTTCTCAACTGCCCTGAATTTGTTCCCCGTCAGCACTACCAGAAAGAGACGGGTAGGTGCCCTGCTGGCATGTAACTGCCTCCTCCTTGTCCTTGTTCTCTGGCTAGCAGTCCATCCTAGGGCTGGCCTCAGAAAGAGGAGTAGAGGGATGAGGACCTCACTTTTCCATCCTGCAGAGTCGGCGCCTGGCTCTCCCCGTGCAGTCACCCCAGTGCCAACCAAAACGGAGGAGGTCAGCAACCTAAAGACACTGCCTAAGGGCCTGTCTGCCAGCCTGCCTGACCTGGATTCTGAGAACTGGATTGAAGTGAAGAAACGGCCTCGGCCCTCCCCAGCACGGCCCAAGGTAGGCTAGATCGTCCCCTGCCTTGGGTTCTAGGACCCTGGGTGGGAGGGCTTGCAGGGCTGTGGGGTCTCAAATAGGCATAGAACTCTGGCTCTGAGGGTCAAGAACAATCACAGGTGGTCCAGGGTCGTAATGTGAGTTGGAGTAGTGATTGCAAGAAAATTGATAATGGCCCATTTCTACTTTCTGAGACCTCCTTTCAGGACAGCATTGGCAGCAGTGGCCCAAGTTTCCTGATTCTTGAATGTTCTTTTTGCCTCATTGAAATCCCAAATGCCATGTTTGCAGTGCCTTTTCCCTGAATTTGTCCTCCCTGTCCTATATATATATAAGTGCTTTGGCTCCTTAAAAGAGGGAAGGAAGAGTGAGTAGATGCATGGCCCACATGTGGTGACTTCACTGACTTTGAATCTGGACTGAATCACAGGTCTCCTGCACTGATGGCTCAGTGATTTGTGAAATGTGTTAAACAGCAAGACTTCAGTTTACCATAGGGGATGGTGGAGTTAAACTGCTCTGAAATATTAAGCTGGGGTACAGTGGGGCAGGGGCAAATAGAATCTACTGTTTGAGAAATATTTCCATCTTAAGCTAAAATACTGCCTGTCTCCTTTCCAGGAGCCAAATTTATCTTTACTTGCTCACCCCATCCACTCTTTGGTGACTTTTTTTTTTTGGGGGGGGGTAGATGGACACAATATCTTTATTTTCATTTATTTTTTAAATGTGGTGCTGAGGATCGAACCCAGGGCCTTACACATATGAGGCACGTGCACTCTGCCACTGAGCTACAACACCAGCCCCAGAGATGACCTTGGACTTCGGGTCTAAGGAATTCTGTGCTTTTTATATTTTCACTGGCTCTCATCATCTTCTCTTTCTGTTGGTTCCAAGAATTCCCCACTGTTATGGCTACAGCCCTTTAAAAGATGCTGTAGACGGGCCCGAGGCACAGGGGAAAGGTATTAAGGGAACAAAGGCTTTACAAAACCCAGGCCCCTATACTACAAAGACGTGGAAAAAATGGATCCAGTCTAAGTCCCTGTACCAGAATTTGGGCTTCCACTCCCGCATGGCTCGTCTTGAACCTTGAAAGAGGTTTTGGGCTGAGGTGTAGCTCAGAGGTGGACCACTTCTTAGCATGCCCAAGGCCCTGGGTTCCATTCCTAGCACTACACAAAAAAACGAGAGAGGTAGTTTGAGAGTTTACATAGGGTGCTCTTGGCACAGCAGGCATTACTTTTGGAAATATGTATTGTGAGGTAGACAAATGGTTTCCCCCAAGAGTATCCAGCGACACTTAGATGCTGGGTTAACTGCCCTTGGGACATGCTGTTCTTCCTGACTAGTACACTCTATCCCTGTCTTAATCTGACTTACTTATGTTCATCATTTAGTAGCCATTTCTTCCCAAGAGCCTCCCCTAGCAATTCCCACTCCCAGTTGGTTAGGTACCCTCCCATGTGCTCCCACAAATCCTATTTATAGCCTTTATCATACTATTTGCATTTGGCTGGTTTGTTGACTTTTCTCCATTAAACTGAGCTTCCATCTGCTTGATGAACATTAGTTGCTAGGTCCTGACACATGTATGAGTGTCTAATGGAAAACAATGCAATTTGCCTTGTAGAGTGTCAACTTTATTATGAGGTATTGAATAGTTGGATAAATAGATGAATCAACCTGTGGAATTTCTGCTGTGTGTCTACTTCCAGACTAGGTGCTGTGTAGGATGTAAAGTAAATGAGAGCATAATTATGTTTGCAAGTGACTGTTATGTGAGCTGTGCGTGAAGGAATGTGGGTTCCAATGGACTACCCGTTTCTCCATGAAGCTCACTCCAGGGAGGGCAGTCTCATGCTCAGGAGCCAGAGCCTCCCTCTTGTGGGACAACTGCGGAAGCCTGGTCCAAGGACCCCTTGGTGATTCCCTTCTCCATGGTCTGTCCCTGTTTCAGAAGTCAGAGGAGCCCAGGTTCGCCCACCCGACATCTCTGCCACAGCAGCTTCCCTCCCAGCAGTTGATGTCCAAGGATCAGGATGAGCAAGAGGAATTGGATTTCCTGTTTGATGAGGAGATGGAGCAGATGGACGGGCGAAAGAATACCTTCACTGCCTGGTCTGATGAGGACTCTGACTATGAGATTGATGACCGGGATGTCAACAAGATCCTCATTGTTACCCAGACGCCACCTTACATGCGCCGGCATCCTGGGGGCGACCGTACAGGCAACCACACCTCTCGTGCCAAGATGAGTGCCGAGCTGGCCAAGGTCATTAATGACGGGCTCTTCTATTATGAGCAGGACCTGTGGACTGAGAAGTTTGAACCCGAGTATTCCCAGATCAAGGTGAGGCTTAGGCAGAGCAGTGTGTGTGTGCTTAGAGTACCTCTAAGAGAGGATGATTGGTTTTGTGATCTCCAGCTGGTCCACCAGTCCAGAGCCTCGTATTCTCCTGTAAGAGAAGCGTGGCAATTAAAGCAAGAGGAGATGTGTAGACATAACAAACAACATGGGGTGTGATTTATTGTCTTCCTTGAGCATATTTAATATCATAACAGTTGGGTAGATATTTCATTTTTGAGAATAGAATGAGTAGATTATCACATCTATTCCTAAATAATTAGGCATATATAAAAGTTTAAAATCCTTTTAAGGAACTTTCTTTGAGTGTGGAAAATGAAAAAAGATAGTTTTTTGGGAAACAGTCAAGGGACATCTGTTGCAGTTTTTTGCAGAGTGCCTATGTGGGGTGTTGGGAGGGCCCTTGGTGAGCCTGTGCAGTTAGACAGTGGCAGAGATGTGGGGAGGCACCATACTGCCTAGGTGAGAATCTGTAGTAAGCTTCTGGGGCTCTGCTGCTAGCCTGATCTTGGGCAGGAAAGAGGAAAGGCAGGCAAAGCCTCATCTCACACAGAGCCCCTACACTTTCCTGGCCTATTGTCTGGGGCTGGGGTCATGCTGCAGGGAGGGCGGGGCTGCACTGCCCTCTCCTAGATTAGCAGCCTCATACCAAGGCAACTGGGATTGAGGAGTAGTGAGGGGTAGCTAAAAGCTTGGGGTCCAGGAGTCCCATGGATGTGGACGTGGGAGCTGTCCTCCCCAACTTCCTGCTGGTCTTGATTCCTAAGCAGGCTGGAGCAGCTTGCTGACTAACATTTTTCCCCACCCACCTCACATCCTCTGCAGCAAGAAGTAGAGAACTTTAAGAAAGTCAACATGATCAGCCGGGAGCAGTTTGATACACTGACCCCTGAACCCCCTGTGGATCCCAACCAGGAGGTTCCTCCTGGGCCTCCCCGGTTTCAGCAAGGTAAGGGGCCAGGCCCTTGAGTCCTGGCATGGGTGAAAAGGTCTGACGCCCATGTTGGGGGCCTTCTACCTCTTGTTGACCCTTTTCTGCTTGTGCAGTTCCCACTGATGCCCTGGCCAACAAGTTGTTTGGTGCTCCTGAGCCCTCAACCATTGCCCGCTCTCTACCAACCACTGTCCCAGAGTCGCCAAACTATCGCAATGCCAGGACCCCCCGTACACCCCGGACGCCACAGCTCAAAGACTCAAGTCAGACATCACGGTTTTACCCAGTGGTGAAAGAAGGACGGACGCTAGATGCCAAGGTGAGGTGCGCCTGCTGGGCTAAATGGGCCCACTTGATCACCTTCCAGTGCTTTGCTTCTCTCCGTTTCCTTGTCTGCACCAAGAAAGGACCAGATCCCCACTATTCTTCATATCCTTAACCTGAAGGACTCACCCCCATATCTGCAAAATAGACTGGGTGTGGGAATGGTGGCCTAAAGAGACCTAGAGAGGACTGACTAGGTATGAGTCCTTCAGCAGATTCCTCACTCCCAAGCTGCCATTTCTTCACCTGTGAAACAGATGGATCAGTTGCTTAGCTACAGCTTTGACCATTATGTGGGAGAATGGATACTAAAATGCTTTTGTAAAATGTGAGGAATAAGACATATAGAACATCTTACTCCTATAATCTTACTTTGAGGTGATGCTCCTCAAAATTGTAGGAGTACAAATAGCAAATTCTGGATTCACCTTTACAGATGCCTCGAAAAAGGAAGACAAGGCACAGCTCAAACCCACCCTTGGAGAGCCACGTGGGCTGGGTGATGGATTCCCGAGAGCACAGACCCCGGACTGCTTCCATCAGGTACTGGGGGCCATGGGAGAGAGAGATCTGGTTGCCTAGGGATGGATGAGAGAGTCTTGAAATCCACTAGACCCAGATTGATCTAAAAACTAAAGGGATCCCCAACCTTCCCCCTACTACACCCCCTCCCCCAATCTAAATTCAAACAACCAGAAATATGGCTCCTTAGCCCAGGATCTGGGTAGGAATGCCTCTTTCTAAAGAGGTGATGTCAGAGCCACCTGGAGACCTGATTTTGATATGCTCATAAGAGAATATCAGAATTGATTTCAAAACCTGGGTATCTGCTACCTACCTGAAAGAGAATGGCCAAGTCATTGAATAAAAATTTGGTGGTTGGGGGTGTTGCTAAGCAGTAGGGCCCATGCTTAGCATGGCTAAGGCTTTGGGTTGGATCCCTAGCACCACCAAAAAACAAAAACAAGGACTGGAGATATGGCCTCACATGCCCAAGGCCCTGGGTTTAATCCCCAGTACCATCAGAAAAAAAAAGAAAAAAGAAACAAGATTCCTTGGCCCTGCCCTAGCTCTACTGACCGAACTTCTCAGGGTAGGGTCCAAGATCCTTTTTATTTTCCTTAAAATGGCCCCAGTGTTTGTTCCTTGTGTTTTGAAGCAAGATTTGAGGGCACCAGATCTGTGCATGGTTTCCTGCACAGATGGCACAGACTGAAAATAGGCAACTTTTGGGAAAAATAGAGATCAACCCATGATGACTCATTAAGGAAAGTTGAATGTTACAAATTAGGTAAATATTAAAAGCTCAGATTTTGAGCCAGCAGGTGGTACACGCCTGTAATCCCAGCAATTTGAGAAGCTGAGGCAGGAGGATTTTGAGTTCAAAGCCAGCTTCAGTCAGCAAGAGCCAGGAGCTAAGTAATTCAGTGAGATCCTGTCTCTAAATAAGTAAAATACAAAATACGGATGGGAATGCAGCTTAGTGGCCAAGTTCCCTTGAGTTTAATCCCCAATACCAAACAAACAAACAAAAAAAACAAAACAAAAAAGGATTTTGGCATCAGACAGATCTCAGTGGTTAAATAGCTCCTTGGCTGTAGATGAGTCTCCCAGTTTCTGTGATCCTTAGTAACCTTCTCTTAAAACTCTGGCTCCAAGAGTTGACTCACAGTACATCAGACCACGTATATAAGTTAGAGCCCAGCACAGTGCAAGAAGCTGGATCTTGGATGATAGAGGGGATCAGAAGAACAACGGGGCTTCTGTGGGGATCCCAGTGACCTGTAACATCTTATGGCCTCTATAGCTCCAGCCCCTCAGAAGGAACACCTGCAGTTGGCAGCTATGGCTGTACCCCTCAGTCACTGCCCAAGTTCCAGCATCCTTCCCACGAGCTGCTCAAGGAAAATGGTTTCACACAACACGTCTACCACAAGTATCGTAGGCGCTGCCTTAACGGTAAGAAGACCAGGGGGAGAGGGCAGAGCTTCTGAGTTTTTACTTAGACCCAGAGGATATGGGCTGGAGGTCAGAAGGAACAAGTGACCATTTTCTCTGATCTTAGAACCAGAAATAATAGGGTATCATTTCAGCAAGGGCTGAAGTTAGATGCAAGCCAGATAATTTGGAACTTCAGGAAGCTAGGGGAAAGCAGCACTTACAGAGTATTTCAATTCGTGTTCTTCCTTCATTGCTACAGAAAAGCTCTTTCTGTCAATGACTCAGACATTGTCCAGTATGACCCACTGTTCATCACAAAGGGTATGCAGGAGGTGGGATATAGTCTCTAGAATAGGGATTACAAGTGATGACTTGTGGGCCAAGTCCAGCGAGTGATCTGGAGCTAAGAACAGTTTTTATGTTTAAGGAGTTATGAAGAAAACAAATTTGTGATACACTCATGTCTCCTGCAAGGCCTAAAATATTTACTCTCAAGCCGTTTACATTAAAAATTTTTCTGGCACTTCTCTAGAAGATAGCATGAAGAGAGAGCTTTGACAAATGCTCTTGGGTGTTCCCTTTTGTCACAGAGATGCCCTTTCCTTATAGATGTTCTGATAGGTTGGCTGTAGAGATGCCCAAAAGCAATCTAAACTTTGATAGGTTGGCTGTAAAGATGTAAAACTTGGCTACTAAATTCTTGGTTCATCTGCCTTATTTGTCCTTAACTGTGCATTTATGTAAATGTAATAGCAATTTCATCGAGATATAATTCACATACCATGCAATTCATTTATATTAAGACTGTTTACTGTAGTGGCAGGACTATTTTACTTTCCTAACAGTAGGATGTGAGGGTTCTGATTCCTCTGCATCCTCCCAAGACTTGTTATTATCTGTTTATTTTATCCAACCTCTAGGGTGTGAAGTGGTATTTCCTTATGGTTTTGATTTGCATTTCCCTGATCGCTAATGATGTTGAACATTTTTTTTGTGTGTGCTTATTGGCTATTTGTGTATCTTCTGTGGAGAAATATCTGTTCACATCTCTCTTTAGCAGGATTATTTGTCTTAACCACTAAGTTGTAGGAATTCTTTATGTTCTAGATACAGGTCCTTTGTCAGATCATGATTTTCAAATATTTTGTTCCATTGTGTGCATCATCTTTATACTTTGTTAATGCATAAAAGCTTTTCATTCAAATGTTATCTACTTTATCTGTTTTCATCTATTTATTTTGTTGCATGAGCTTTTGGTGTTATGTATTGTTTTTTTATGTTTCCAGTTTGTACTTGGTAATGTTGGTAATGAGCAGAATGTAATCTGTTAGAATTCTCAAAAAAGTATTTGTTCATGCTTGGCCTTGTACCTGCGCTTGAAAGGGACAGGTTGAAATGAAGGACTGGAGTGAGGGCCTGATCCAGAAGCTGGTGCCACCTGCTTCAGATGGGCCTCAGCCCAGTACCCGGCAGCAGGGACTCATAGAGAGTAGTAAATGCTTAGTAAACATTTACTGAATGACTGAAGTGGCAGATGATGGGTAAGGAAATTGGGAGGCATAGGAGTAAGGACTTGTTCTTAAATCCCAGCATCCTAAGCAAGGACAGCCTGACACATGCCTTTCCTTTTTTCCCCCCTGTAGAGCGGAAGCGCTTGGGCATTGGCCAGTCTCAGGAGATGAACACTCTCTTCCGCTTCTGGTCCTTCTTCCTCCGAGATCACTTCAACAAAAAGATGTATGAAGAGTTCAAGCAGCTGGCTCTGGAGGATGCCAAAGAAGGCTACAGGTAAGTGAGGTTGGCGGGGGGGGGGAGGTTCTGGCTGGCACTTGAGGGCTAATAAAGGGTCCCCAGTGACTCTGCTTTTAGAACTGTGGTTGGAAATCTTTTGCATGTGTGCCTGTTACTTTAAATGGGAAATATATTCACATGGTTCAAATTTCTCAAGAGTTTTTATTTTGTAGTAAAAAGACTTCTTATCCCTGGTTCTTGCCATCTAGTTTTTTTCCTCACAGTAACCTGTATTGTTACAATGTTTATAGGTCCTTTGTAAAAATAGTTTACACCTGTGTAAGCAAGTAGTTCTCTGTTTCCTCTGCCACATCACCATCCGCTCTCAGTCTATACCAGAGATGACTTACATTTTATATGGTATTTTTTTTGGACCTTTTTCTCCCTGCATGCTGGGAATTGAATTTAGGGCCTCAGACATGCAAATAAGCAAGTGCTCTGCCACTGAAGTACATCCCCGGCCTTTTGTTTTATTTTGATTCAGGGTCTTGTTGAGTTGCCCCAGTTGGCATCAAATTTGATTCTCCTGAGTCACTGGGGTTATAGACGTGCACCACCCTTACCACCCTTATGTCTAGTACACATTGCCCTTTTTTCTTTATTTAGTGCATTATCTTGGAGGATCATTTTATAACTGAACATAAATAAATTTTTATTATAACTGGTCTTGTTTTGTTTAGCTCATATCCTATTAATAGGTAATATAGGTTGCTTATAACACTTTGCTTTTAGAAAATCTCTTTTATTCGTTTCCTCCTCCTCTGATTTCCAAAGTAAAACATTCTCTGTGTAAGCAATTTGAATGTTTGAGGAAGTGGAAGAAACATCCTTTGCTCCAGAGACAGCAAGTGTTAATGTGCTGTCATCTAGATCATCCTGTGAGTTGGGCACCAGTAATCCTAGCTACCCAGGAGGCTGAGACAGGAAGACCACAAGTTTGAGTCCCATCTGGGCAATTTAGTGAGACTGTCTCAAAAAAAAAGTTGAAAAAAGGGCTGGGGGTATAGCTCAATGAGTAGTAGAATACCCCTGTGTTCAACCCCCCAAGTACCTCAAAAAGAAACAAGTCCTGTGAATGTATTTTTCTTAACTTATTTTTAGCATTTATAAGCATGAACATTTTTCCATGTTAAAATATATAACTTTTCCTTCTCAAGAAGTTGTTAAATACCTTTTATAGAAAGAAAATACAGATAAGAAAAATCACTTGGGCTGGGGTTATAGCTCAGTGTATCTTGACTAGCATGTGTAAGGCAGTGGAGTTCGATTCTCGGCACCACGTATCATTGACAACTAAAAAAATTTTTTTTAAAGAAAAAGATCACTTGAAAATCCAATTTCCATAGACAACCAGTATTAATATTTTTAACTTTGTGCTCCTTCAGACTTTTGCATGCATGTGTAGATGTATAGTTTACATATTTATCTATAAAAATGGGGTCATTCTATTCATGTCCTTTGAAAAATGTCCTTTTTACTTGATGTACATTTGTACTTTTAATTTTTGACAACTTATATCTCATTATGGATTTACCATGATTTTTTCTTAATGTTTCTGTATTTCTAGACATGTACATTTTGTTTAATAATATTGATACAAACAGTTTAATACTTTTGTAAAATCTTAAGTCTGACTTTGGGCCATTTCCTTGGCATGTGTTTCCAGAAGTAAAATTTCTCAGAAACAGGAACAGGCAGAAATTCTGTAAAAGAATAGGTGGGAACAAATGGATGTGGGCATTGAGGGATACAGAGAGTTTTCCTGACTCCCCACAAGGTGCGAACATTTAATACTGGACCCACTTAGACTACCACTAAATGTCAGCCTTCGTAAAGCGTATTTGCCATTTTTTCAGTACAGGAAGAACACATTTTTTAAACTGTTTCATATAGTTCCTTTGCTATGCAGGCACATTTCCCCCTCTTACAGATGAGGACACTGTGCCCTGAGTTCACTGACTTGTCCTCCCACAGATATGGTTTAGAGTGCCTTTTTCGATACTACAGTTATGGCCTAGAAAAGAAGTTCCGGTTGGATATATTCAAGGATTTTCAGGAGGAAACCGTGAAGGACTATGAAGCTGGTAAGAGGCAGAGTTGAATTTCTGTGCACCCTGGTCACCTAGGTTTTCTTCCTGTCTTCCCTAGTTCCACCCGGGCTTCACACAAACCTCTCTCTATATGTGCCCCTTGTCTCTACATTCTCCCCAGCGGTCCAAGCCCTTTCTACCCCTCTCTTTCTCCCTTTCTCTACAGGTCAACTCTATGGGCTGGAAAAGTTCTGGGCCTTCTTGAAATATTCCAAAGCCAAAAATTTGGACATTGACCCCAAACTGCAAGAATACCTCGGCAAATTTCGACGTCTAGAAGACTTCCGAGTAGATGTAAGCAAAAGTCTCCCCTCTGATCCTAGTGTTCAGGAATCAAGATACCTGGATTCTGGTCCCTACAGTGCCACTAGCCCCAAGGACACTTTCCCTGGCCTTCCTTCCTCTCCCAGTTTGGGTTTCCTTCTTAGTTTCTTCATCTATGAATGGGAGGGTGAGGATAAACAGCATCTGCAAGTTAGAATGGCATTTGCTACAGATTTCTTTTCTGGGTCTGTGTTGCTAGGCTGTCATGATACTCTCTCCCTTGTATCTAACAGCCCTTCCTGCTGCCGTGTCAAGTTTCCCACTAATTTTTATCTTGATTAGCTAGCTACAATAAATGTATTTAACTCCAGAAGTTTATAAATTAATATCTAGCATAGTAACGCATGCCTGTAGTCCCAGAGACGCAGGAAGCTGAGGCAGGAGGATTGCAAATTCAAGACCAGCCTGGGTGTCTTAGTGACACCCTGCCTCCTCCAAATTAAAGAATTTTGAAAGAGGTTGGGGGCATAGCTCAGTTGTAGAGCTCCCTGAATTCAATCCCCAATACCAAAATAAAAATCAATAAAATGTCTAGTCCTCCTCCATCTTCTGGAGTGATGTCTCTACAGTGACATCTAGTGGTGAGTTTACTGCCATGGCTGGAATTACTTGTTTAACTGATTCAGCAAATGTCTCTGTGCTAGGAGCTTCAGGGACTCCGGAAATGAGTGAAAGACTCTGCTTCAAAGTGTATAGTGGCTGGGGTGTAGCTCAGTGGTAATGTGTGTGCTTAACATGTGCAAGGACCCAGCACCAAAAAAGAAAAGGACATAAAAAGATCTTTAACCAAATAAGTCCATAATGTAGTAAAAATTTCTGGTGGTTTTTTTGTTTTTGTACCCTGAATTGAACCCAGGGGCATTTAACCACTGAATCATATCCCCATCCTTTTTTTATATTTTTTATTTAGAGACAGGGTCTGGCCACTAGGTTGCTGAGGCTGGCTTTAACTTGTGATCCTCCTGCCTCAGCCTTCCCTGGGATTATACACATGCACCACTGCACAACTGGTAATCATCTTAGTCACATCAAACCTTTTAGCAAAACGTCAGGTAATAAGAAAATGGTAATAATAGCCCTCACATTTATTATTTTAAAACTGCCACTGAGCCGGACGCAGTGGTGCATGTGAATTCAAAGCCAGCCTTAGCAATGATGAGGTACTAAGCAACTCAGTGAGACCCTGTCTCTAAATAAAATACAAAATAGGGATGTGTTCTATCCCTGGCACAAAAAAGTAAATAAATAAATAAAACTGCCACTGAGTGGTTATTCTCAAGTACTATGCTAGATGATTCTTATTGACCTCATTGGACACTTTAGTGGTGAAGTAGGAAGGGCTTATTATTATCACATACCCACGGATGGGTACACTGAGGATTGTGACTATCCAGGGGTATAGAAAAATATTTCCCAAGCCTCCTAATATATTCTATCCTTGCCGGGAGGGGTGTACAATTGCAGAGGGTCCTTATATAATTGATTGGTAAACCCCGAAGGTGGAACAGAGGTTTAATTTTGGTATCCCAAAGGGAAGATAATGTTCTTAAGGTCACAGGATCTTTGTTATGGTGATTTATAGTCTTGACATTTCATTCAGTGGTCTGTGGAGGTGCCTGGAAGGGAGTGAGGTGACCTCCAGAAGCATCTAGGCCTTCTGAGCTGAGGCATCTAATATACTGCATGCCACATTCCATATATCATCCTTCTGCAGCTCCCAAGCAATATGGATGTGGATGAAAGTCTGGTCTTTGGGAGAGATGGACCTAGATTTTGTGTTTTCCATTTAAACAGCTATGGGATCCTGGGTAAATTACTTTCCTGTGTCTCATTTTCCACATATGTAAAATCAGATCATCAAAGAAAGATGAGGGCCCCACAGGAGAATATGCATTAAATAGCATGGTCTGTGTCATAGAGAAATGCTTAATATCTGGTATTCATTTTTAAGGTCAAATCCATTGTCTACATTTGGAGGTAAATCTCTAGGCAGCCCTGGTAAGAAGTGGATAGTAATCCCCTAATTACCTGTGACTTTCTGCTCTGTTGCAGCCCCCCATGGGTGAGGAGGGCAACCACAAGCGACACCCAGTGGTAGCAGGAGGTGGCAGTGGTGAGGGCAGGAAGCGGTGCCCCTCCCAGTCTTCCAGCAGGCCTGCCACCATGATTAACCAACCCCCTACACCACCTACTGGCCAGCCCATCCGGGAAGATGCCAAATGGACAAGCCAGCACTCGGATACACAGACTTTGGGAAAGTGAAAAGCCCTTTAGCCCTGGGGATTAGAGTGGGGAAGGGGTGGGGTGGTCGAGGGTCCATGGGGGTGCCCAGTCCCAGGAGAGGGGACAAAGAAGGGACTGGCCTGGAATTAATAGAGCAGGCCTCTGTGCTGAGTAGCAGTGTGTACACCATTTGGGCTATTAGAGGTACCCTGGGCAGAGCCTCCACGTAACTCCCTTCTCCTCCTCTCTCCATGACTCTTCCATCCCAGCTTCTTCTAAGGGGGGAGGGAAAGGGGGGAGATTTTTTTATATATATATACATATATATATATATCAAGTTTTAAATTATTGATAGTTTGTCTGGATTACCAAAATCACTCTTCAGCCCTGCCCTCGGCTGATATGCCGCAACCCTGGTCCCCACCCACAGCCTCTTCTTGCTCCCCCCCCAAGCCAACTATGCAGCCCACCAGAAGGCCCTGTGGGCCCTATTGCCCAGCACTGTCCCGTGGAAGGCTCTGACAGCGCCTGGGCCCCAGGAGCACTAGCCCCTGACTATGTGGGGTTTGCCGTCACCATGTTCTCTCCCTGCTGTCCCTACCATGCCCTTCTGCCATCTTCTGGGAGAAGGAAACCAAAGGATCTAAAAGTGGGGGTTGGGGGAGGTTTCAGCCTCTCCCACTCCCCTTTCCCCACACCCCTTACTCCCCAGCCCAGAGAGACGCTGCTCATACCAGAAAAGACTATTGAAAGATGATTTATTTTATTTTTCTCTGACCTTTCCATCCTTGGAAAAACGGAAAAAAGAAAAAAAAAAAAAGACAAAATAGACCATTAACAAAAAAAGAAAAAAACAAAAAAAAAGAAAAGAAAAAAATCAGAAAACCCCCACCTAATCCATAGAAAGTGATGTCTTTCCCCTCTCCTTGGAAATTTTTTTTGTTTGTTTTGTTCTTGGAAATAATATTTTTTTAAAAGTTGCCTTATTGTGGAGCGGGAATCTGAAATAATACCCAAATGCCTGTTTTCCTCGGTGGAGTCAACCTGAAGAGCTCCCACCTTCTCTGGATGTGCCTGGGCTTGGACTGGCTGGATCTTTCTCTGGACTGAGTTGCATGTACAGTGCCTCCCGCCTGGAGGCAAGAGAGTTGGGGGCGGCTGTCAGAGCCGTGCCCAAAATATCCCTGCTGTTGCATCGTTGAAGCTGACGTCCTGTGTCTGTACACTGCTGCCACTTTCGTGTCCTTGCTCTGCTTGCTGTCGCCTCACGCCAGGCCCCGTCCTGCCGTGACACCCTTCATCCTACCCTTGGAATCCCAAGGCCAAGTTTGCTTCAAACTGTTGGAAAACAGAGTTGGCCTGGATCTGGAACACACTTGTCCTCAGCCCGAGCGTCTTCCCCATGCCAGAGGGGAAAGGGGAACACCTGGTAGCTGAGGCTTGGATATGTTTCTCACATTGTCCTGAAAGATCACCGAGACCTCAAGGAAGCTTTATGTCTCGTGAAAGGTGGAGAAAGGTGCCATTCTTTTCCGAGGGTCTGGTGGGGTCTCCCCATCTTGCATTCCCCCCCTCTGCAAGCCATCTCTGCCCACCCTCTCTCTGATCAACCCCAACTGGGAACGAGACCCCGCCTGGGAACGAGGGATGAGGAGGAATTGGGGGCTGGGGGGAATCCTGCCAGTTGGTGAAGCCCTGTGGCAGGAAGGTATATGTGGACATAGAGTATACCTAACTTCTCTTCTCCAGCCACTGACTGCTTGAGTTGGGCTGTGAATGACAATGGAATGGCTGGAGTCTACTGTCGTCAGAAGCTAGGGAGGGTGACCGACTGACCCGCACAGACTGGGATGTGTGTCAAGTACGGGCATGACTGCATGTTCACCCCCAATGGGAACTGGGCAACACGGAGAAGTTTGCTGTCTTGTTGCTCAATTACTGAAACTTCTTTGACCCTCCTTTTCAACAGGTTTCTCTGTTGGCCCAAAGGTTGGGAATAGGAGACAGTATCCCAGGCTGACAGGGGCTCGCTTGCCCTCTGTCTTTGGGTACCTCATTGCTTTTAGTTTGTGTGCCCCCTCACCTCTGTCATCCCAGTGCTTAGAATGTGGGAAGCCCATCTCACTTCCTGTGACCCAGTCGTCTTGAACCAAGGATGAATGTCTGGTCTCTGCTATGACAATGGGATCTGAGGCTTCTCCCTAACCAGTCTGGTGTACCTGCCCCACATTGTCCCAGACACTGGACTCCTGACCCCCTTCTCTCTCCCTTTCCCCCTTTTTTTCCTTTGGGTCACTCAGCCCTGTATTTTATCCAGCACCACAAAAACCTCAGTGTTTGACCCTTGCTGTGTTTGGGGACACAAGGAAGCCTTGGAGGTGGGAAAAGGCTGTTCTCATCTAGTTACTCCCAGGCCAGGGGCTGCCATCCTCTCCCTGATCCTCTCAGATATCCCTGAAGGAGGAAGCACCTTTGGGGTGAGTAGGTGAGAACTTCATCTCAACATAGGCTGAGGAGGGGTGAGGGGCTATTTTCTTTCTTTCTTTCTTTTTTTTTTTTTTTTGTAACATGTTAGGAGTTAATGTTGCAAAGAGTAGTTTACATCTTCACTTTCTGAAGACACTTGAATTTAGGACCGATGTATCTGTGACAAGTATGAGTGGCAGGGGCCATCAGGACTAGCCACTTCACATCCACCACCTTCCCATGGGAATCTTAAGACCTGAGACACAAAGCAACAGCCTGCCCCAACCCCCTGTTTATTCTCTGCCCTTCTAAGGTTGGTCCACGCCAGAATGACCTGTAGGTGTCAAACAGAAGGTCTGTGTGTGCCTAAGCCCTGAGGAGGGACAGGTTTTTCTTGTGCCCTCTCCAGAACCTGAGACACATGCACTATCAGTAGAGAAGGCTACCCAGTCCTGCCTCAGCCTGGACCCCTAGGGCTCAGAACGACAGCAAGAGGCACTGAGCCCCCATGTCAAAGTTAAATGTTTTTGTTTCATTGTAGCTCTTCCCCCCCCCCCTTTCTGATGATTGATTTACAAAAGAAAGTAAGCTGCTCAGGAGGCTCTGGAAGTGGGGTAGAGGAAGCAAGAAGACTAGCCTTTAGGAGAGCTAGGGGTGTTTTGCCAAAAGCCTGGGTAGAGTGGTCTGGATCATCTGGCACCCTCCCAAATGGGAACCTCAAAGTACCTCTTGTGTGGAAGGGTTCCTGGATTCTCCCCAGCCCCACCCTCTCCTTCAGCCATGTTGATGGCAGAGGCAGAGAACTTAAGAACTTACAGCCCGATTCTCACTGGAGAGGAAAACTTGTCATCTGGCTTTGCGAAGAAGGTTCCACCTTACGCTCGTAGTACATTATCTTTACCATGTGCTAGGATATCACATTTAAAAGGATAAAAAAAAATGTAAAATACTTGAATGAGCTTGTATTATAACATTAATATTATTGAGAGTATCTGCTTTCCAGGCTGAAGTGATTCATTCATTATTCTAGTCCTGCTTTAGTCCTTTGTAATTTGTGGTAATTATGCTTTTCTTTTTAATACAAAAAATGTATAAAAATAAAAATTTGAAAAGGCAAAATACTGGCTTGTCTCCCATCTGGGGTGCTGCTATTGGGTGTGAGATAGAGCCCAGTTAGGGTTCCCCAGAGCCAGAGGAAACTTGCTCTGCATCTGAGTGGCACCTGCAAGGGCATTATCAGTGGACTTTGGGGGAGTCTGCTGAAGGCAGGGCCTCCATTGGGCTGCCAGTGCATCGAGGTGGCTTCCTCAATGGTCTTTAGAGCCTTTTTTTTTTTTTTTTTAACCAGCTTTAAATCCGTGTCTTAAGTGAGAGTTGGGGGACATAGACTGCCAGATGTGAGTGGGAGCCTATTTGGTGGCACTTGGGCTCCATCCACTGCCTGGGCCTGGTCTTGTAATCGAAGATAGCCAAGAAGAAAAGTTAGTGTCCCTTGTAGAGTGTTGGCACAGCCCCTCCCTGAAGAGACTCTTATGAGAGTGAAGAAGTAACAGTTCAGTAATCACACCTTATGGAACCTGTGTCGTACAGGGATCCCTGAGATGGGGATGGAACAGTGAGCCCCACTCTACAGAGAAAAACCAAAAGTGAGTCATAGCCTCACGTGGTCATCTGACCATTTTCTGTCTCCCAGACATGGTGCAGTCCCTAGCAAATGGTCTTCTAGAGTTGATTTTTTTTTTTTTTAAGAGAGGAGAGAGAGAATTTTTAATATTTATTTTTTTTAGTTCTCGGTGGACACAACATCTTTGTTGGTATGTGGTGCTGAGGATCGAACCCGGGTCGCACGCATGCCAGGCGAGCGTGCTACCGCTTGAGCCACATCCCCACTAGTCTTTGATGGGCACTTAACTTCAGTACTACCCAGGACCTCTACTGGCCAAAGGAAGCTTAGAAGTAGCCAGGGTTCTGTGGATTGGAACTTTGGGAAAGGGAGATGTATTAGTTCAACATCACTTCCACACATTCCTGTCAGGAATGGTCATCAAAGAGGCTACTGATTGCACTGTCTTAGCTCCCAAATGTCATGATCATGAACATTAGAACAAGTCTTATAGGAGGAAAAAAAAAGTATCAGGAATAAATGGAAGCAAGTTTATTTAAAATGCTTTTTCTTCACATTTTCTGCTGGGACTTCAAGGCTTTTTTCTTTTTCCCCCCAGTCTTATTTACCAACCTCAGGGCCATTCTATTTGAGAAAAGGATAAGTGCAGGTGCCAAACAATGGCAGCTAGAACAATAACAGCCTCTTGTCCTTTTATGCCTTTTGTACAGCACCTTGAAATCTAAAGCAATTCTCATATAGTCTCCTCATCCCCCATCCTCTCAAGTGTACTGAGGGACTTGTTTCCAGATGCTTGCTTGTAGGTGGGTGCAGGCCAGCAGTGGGAGAATGTAACAGTTGGATACACTAGACAGGCCTGGGCCCATCAAGGCCAGAGGGGGCAGGTGGGGCTTGGAAGGCCAGGGAAGGTGCTGCCTGCTTAGTGTTGACTTGGCCTACTGGGCAAGTCCTCTGCGGTCCTGGTGCTCAGAAGGAAGTAGTTTGGGGTAGTTTTGCTTGGAGGCTTGGCCCTGTGTGATCTTCCTTGTCTCAAAGAGATGGGGGCTCACTGTTGCAAAGAGGCTGGCCCCAAACTGGCCCCTCCTGCCTCAGCTCCCAGGTAGCTAGGTCTACAGGTCTGTACCAGCTATGTTAAGGTTTTTGTAAAACCACAGTAGATTATTTTCCATATATATATACTTTTTCCTGGTACTAAGGATTGAACCCAGAGGTACCTTTACCACTGAGCTCTGTCCCCAGCCCTTGTACTTTTTGAGGCAGGGTCATGCTAAGTTGTCCAGGCTGGCTTTGAACTGGTGATCCTCCTGCCTTGGTCACAGGATTACAGCTGTGTGCACCATCTCACCTGGTCACAGTAGGTGGTTTTCTTGGCCCAAAAGAACTGAAAGTCAGTAATAGGCATAAGTACACATATAAGAATTTAGTAAATTAACTAGATGTGGTGGCACATGCCTCTATAATCTCAATGACTCTAGGTTGATGGTAAGAGTCTCAACAGGTCAAGGTCAGTCTGGGCAATATTTTCTATTTTCAAAATAGAAAAATAAAAGGGGCTGGGGATGTAGCTTAGTGGTAGAGCACCCCTGGGTTCAATCCCCAGGAGGGTGGGGGTAGATGATAATGGTAGTAATGGTGGCCTTTCAAAGAGTAGTCTGAATTGTTGGGAGCCACAAGGTTCAAGAGCATGTTGCTCCTAAGAGGAGGTAAGGGAGGTAGGTGATTGTTTCAAACCCAGATAGCCCTGTTGCTTTGTTTCAGATAAAAAGGGTCCTGGTTAGATTTCATTTGAAAAATGTATCTGCTAAAACCCAGTCAAATAAACCCTGTTAAGAAAACTGGTTAACCATTTCAGAGAAAAAGAGTTTTGCCCTTTGGCCATTTTTTTCTGGACTCCTCTTGGGGGAAAGAAGGGTTCTCACCTCTGGTTTTGGTTCATGTAAGTTAATTAGAGGCCTCAGGTATCCCCAAAGGGTTGTGACCCTGATCCTTCTAGGTGAAGGGCACCCAGCTCAGCAGTCCTCGTGGGTGTAGCCTGTGCTTCCTTGTTATCAGTTGATCAGGGAGGAGCACCTGTGGGTGTTTATGTGCAGTGAGGCAGAGTTGAAATGGAACCTCTGTGTGTGTGATGGGAGTGGGCGGAATTGGGACTGGCATGTGGCATGTGAAAAACAGACCTGTAACTATTTGCCAGGGACAACTGGCCCTGGCCTGACTAAGATATGGAAAAGCCTTTTGGGGTAGGAAGAAGCAAAGTGATATCTGATTCCCCCACTCCTTGACACCAGAAAGAGCTCTCCCTGGGGCCCAAATTGCCTTAGTCTTACTGCCCTCTCCATCATTCTCTGCATCTTACCTAGGCCACAAGACAGTGGGGAGGGGATGACCTTCCTCCATCCCACAGCAGAGGACCAGAGGGCCTGGCCAGAGCCCTCTTAAAGCGGTTTCCTCCTCTGACTGGCCTCCAGTCTGGGGAACCTTTTTTTCCTTTTCCTTAAGCTAACTCCTGGTCCCATGAAAGGACAAGGGCAGAAGTTTGGGGGAAGCCCTGGCCCTATCCTTGGCCCTGCTTTTCTAGGAAGCCAGCCTCTCCTCTGCCCTAATGGTGCCGTCATTAGAGTGTGTGGCTGAAGGAGGCAAGTTGTTAGGTGCAATCATGAGGCCTCGGTGTCTTGGAATCCCACTCTTGGGATAGGACTGGCAAGGGCCCTTTCACTCCATCTTCTTTGGGGAGTCGGGGATGCTCTCCGAGAGTGGGGTGAAGCCCAGCAGCAGGATGTGCCTCTCATAGGCCTTGGTCTGCTTAAACATGGTGTCGGTCCCATGGAGGTGGTCCAGCACCCCCAATACGCCATAGCATTGGTTGAACCTAGAGGAGAGGAGGGTACTGCAGTGCTGGACGGAGGACCATTTGTGGACCTCTCTGTCCTTCATGCTGGCCTCCTATCCACACCTATCACCACCATCCTGACCACATCCATTAGAACAACCTGGGGAGATCCTATGAGCATATATAAGGGGCCACTCCAGACCTGCAAAATCTGGAGCTGCATCCCCATCTCCCTGCCCCCTTTTTTTGAGACAAGATTTTGGTAAGTTGCTGAGGCTGGCCTTGAACTTGCAGTTCTCCTGCCTCCCCCTCCAGAATAACTGGGATGACAGGCATGTGCCACCACACCCAGCTTGGAGTCTTCCCTTGGAAACCTCACCATGTGATTCTGATGCACATGTGCTTAAGAACCTGACAGGACTATGCTTGCTCAGATATGGTCCAGGGGCCATCTGCTTCAGAACCTCTTGCCACATGTTAAAATGCAGGTTTCTAGGCTGTGCTCCTGCAAATATTTTGATTTGAGATACAGAGTGGAACCCAAGAGCTCACATTTTAAACAAATATTTCATGTGACTCTAGGAAGTACAGAGACCACACTTGAAAAAATCCTGGGGGCTTTCAGAAAACACAACTTCCCTGGAAATGCATGCAAGATTTTCCTGCACACACACATTTTTCTGAAGACTGTCCATAACTACATTAGAGACTCAAAAGTCTCTAAATAAAGGTTAAATTCCCAGCGACAGAAGAGCCCAATGTCACTAGCACTCACACAGTGTGCTGAGAGGCTTGAAGAGTGTGGGTGGTGGTTGTTGGTCAAGGACCCCTGTGGGGAGGAGGGCCTTACTTGAGATGGTGGTAGTCATGGAATTCAGGCGAAGGCAGGAAGGGTAGGTGGTAGCCACAGTGGGAGATGGTGGTGATGATGAGGGCCAAGGAAAACCACACCGTGATGGAGGACAAATGGGAGCCCATCACAAAGGGGCCTGCGATCACTGGCAGCATGTTAGAGGCCTGGAAGAGGAAGGATGATTGGATGCAGGCCTAGGAGAGGGAGGGGACCCAGGTGGGTGTCCACTTTGCCCCAAGGTGGTACCAGGAGAAGACTTGCTTGACTCAGATCTGGAGAAGATGGAAGTATCAGGACCTTGTTTTGTTGGAGACACTCACCTTTGTACCTTGGGACATGTTATTAATTATTTGAGCCCCAGCTTCCTTATCAGCAAAATCAGGATTACAGTGGTTGTTGGACAAATTAAGAGATTCAGCTTGGGAGGCTCCTAATATAGTCTGGCAGAGGGCAGGTTGACAATAAATGGCAACTAATTAATTGGAAGAAGAAAGGCCTTATGTGGTCTGATTCTCTGCAGGAGCCCTTAGAGAAGATGGTTGGGACCACCACTCTTCTCTGGAGATCCCAGGGCTGTACTCACCACGTGCTCTATAGGGTGGGCATAGAGAGAGGTCACCCCAATGGGGGCTGTCCACTCGTGGTGTTTCTTATGAATTCTCTTGTAGAATGTTGGGTGGTGAAGGAGCCTGGGAAAACAATTAGTACTTAATAATCTGCCAATTCTCCTTTCTCCCTCCCTACCATCAGAAGTCAATGGTAGGGACTAGGGGTGACATCTGTGGAGTCAAGTGGAAAACACTGATTGCACTCCTCTAGGTCTGACCCCACTCCTTAGGCTGTGTGCTCGGGGAATGGGTTACTTGGGTCTCTCTCACATTCGAATTAGCTGTGAAATAAGGGTGCTGCCCAGAAAGGATTCAATAAGGAAATGAATGGGAGACCGCCCACCCCCCATACAAATGGAAAAGCTCTTTCTTGGCTGGACATTCCTCAGTCGCTTATGGGGAAAGTTATGGGAAAAGTTCTTGTCTCCCTGCCACCCACTAGCAGGAGACTTGAGATCAGAGGGTGTTGGTCCCACACCAACAGAAGCTTCAGTGCAGAGCCACAGGTAGGGTGGGGGTGAGCTGTGCTCAGGCAGAGCCCCTGCTCACCGGTGCGAATAGTAGAACAAGACTTCCTCAATTAGGGTGAAGATGGTCAGCTCCAGAAGGAACAAGTGGAAGGTTGGCAGCTCCCGGCCGCAGGGGTCTCCCCGCCACTTGAAGAGGGGAAAGAAGAAGACTGCCATGGGGGGAGTGATCACGAACTGGTTGAAAAGAACTGTGCGCACAGCCTGGCGGAGTTTCGTGGGGTCTACCTGTTGAGGGAAGGAAGTGTGAGAAGTAGGTCTTCCCCGTTTGGAAAAGTGGCTCCACTGTGACCTGCTCACAGGAGCCTGTAACTCAGATAAATTTGGGGTGATGTCTGGGCATAGCTGGAAGCTCCTGCCTGACCCCCAGCCCTGGGACTAGGGACATCGCAGCAGGAAGGCCCTGGCTGTCGGGTGGATGAGTAACACCACTCCCTTGGAGACTGCCCCACGCAGTGTTCAGGCTGCCCAAGACTGCTTCTCCCTTCCTGGTTCTGCAGATAACACCACTGTCCTCTCCATCTCAGGCCAAGCATCATGTCTTCCTGGCAGGCAACCTGGGGAGCCACCAGCATACTTGGAGAAGGTGCCAAATCCCCTAAGTGGGAGAACCTTGTTAGTGAAGGATGCAGAGACCCGAGTTATCTGCCTCCTTGTGTGTCCAGCCTCACTGAACTAGGCCCAGGACAGACAGGGAAAACAAGGCAGGGTTGCTCTTCTAGCCTCTTGACTACCTCCTGGTGGTGGTGATGGGCTGTCAGGAGGGAGGCCTGCCCAAGCTTTTTCATGTGGGCCCACTGTGCACAGCTTACATCCCCCTTTGATCTCAAAATTCACTCATGTTTTATTTCTGTCCCATAATGAGGCCAGGCCTGGCCAGCCTCATTTGAGATCACATGTAAGATGAGGCCATGAATGTCTTCTGGAAATCTTGACCGAGAGGAAGGTGCCAATCTTGTCTGTTTGTCCATCCATGCATATAACTGGTACTTAGTGTTTACTATGTAGCTAGCATTTAGTGTTCTAGGTGATGAAAATCATTAAACACAACAAAAATTCCTGGCTTAATGGATTTATATTCTGGTAGGGAAGACAGGCTTTGCAAATATCAAAATATATATATATATATATATTGGGTGATAAGTGTTTTAGTGATAAGGAAGTTTAAAGGAGAGAAGGAGAGCAGCAGGAGCCCCAGGTCAGGGGCGAGGCATCTGTTCACTCTGAATAGACCCGGCAGGGTAGGCCTCACTGACATGGTAAGATGTAGACACACAAAAGAGAAGGGACCCGGCCAAACAGACACGTAGGGAAAATGCCTTCAAGCGAAGGCCAGGCTGGTAAGAAGGTCTAGGACAGCCATATTCCTGGCCTGTGTGGCTGGAGAAGAGCGAGGAGGCCGCAGGGTATTTGAGCCTGGAATTCAAGAGAGAGTTCTGTAGGACCTTCAATGTACAGGTGGTGTTTAAGGTCATAACACTGAAGAGATAAAGAGGGAATGAAGATAAAGAGGATCCAGACCAGAGCCCTGGGGCAGTCATCTTTAAGAGGTTGGGGAGAAGGAACCAGAAGGCGTGACTCTGAAGGAGATAAGTGGTGCGCCTGAGAGTGGGGTGTCCTTGAAGCCAAGGACAAGGGAATGCACAACTGTGGCAATGCATTTGGGGACTTAATGACACAAGCCTGAGCCTGGATCATTGGTGACCTTGCAGAAAGGACTTCTGGTGGAACTCTGTTTGGGGGAGACCACCTATTGGAAGAATGTTTCTGGAGAGGCTGAGCTGATGCTTTTGTGATTATTCCTAGGAGACACAGGCTGAAGGACTTAGGGATGAAGTCTTACAATGTCCTGAGCTTACCTTCAAACATTTAGGTAAAATATTACACATGTGTATATATTTATACATAAAGCAGAAATTCTAAAATGTTTACAATTGATGAATCTGAATGTATGTAAATGAGTGATGATTGTAAGAACTTTTCAACATTTTTGTGTCTGTGTTTGATTTTTTTTCATTATAACAAAATTTTGGGGAAAAAGTTGGACGGGGATGATTGGGAACTGGCTACGGTGCTAGTGATTTGGGGGAGGCAGGGTCAAGGATTGCTTTCTTTTTTATCATGGGAAAATGAAAAAATTATAGCCTATTTATAATACAGAGAGGAATAATCTGGGGTTGTGGTGGGGTAGAGAGAGAGAGAGAGAATACAAAAAAAGAGAGATGAGCCAGGTGTGGTGGCACACGCCTGGGATCCCAGCGGCTTAGGAAGCTGAGGAAAAAGGATCAAAGCCAGCCTCAGCAACTTATTGAGGCACAAGGCAACTCAATGAGACCCAGTCTCTAAATAAAATACAATAAGGGCTGGGGATATGGCTCAGTGGTTTGGATTCAATCCCCAGTACCCCCCCCCCAAAAAAAAAGAGAGAGAGAAAGGTGACTGGGTGTGGTGGCGCACATCTGTAATCCCAGTGGCTTGGGAGGCTGAGGCAGGAGATTGTGAGTTCAAAGCCAGCCTCAGCAAAACTTAGTGAAGCTCTGAGTAACTTAGGGTGTCCCTGTCTCAAAATAAAATATTTTTTAAAAGGGGGCTGGGGATATGGCTCACAGATTAAGCACCCCTGGGTTCAATTCCTGGGACCCCTCCCCCTGCCCAAAAAAAAACGGTGAGAATTGCTGAAATTGCTAAGGCACTTTCCTGATGCAGACCAGAGGTGATAGGTGCTGCACACAGAGTGCAAGAAACTGCAGGTCAGAACAGGAAGAATTCACCTGCAGAACCAGGTGGGCAGGCGGAGGACACAGACACTGTTGCCAGGAGGCCCATGAGGTGTCTGCGAAGCTCTCTTGTGCTTTAGTTCTCTGAGTGAAGCAGGGAGCAAGGCCAACCCCAGGGAGAGAGGTTAGTTGGGGAGGTGCTGGTGATTCGAGCTTGCAGGTGTGCCCCAGGCATCCAGGGGAGTGGGACAGTAGCTAGACAGGGATGGACTGTGTGAGTGCCAGGTAGCATTTGGCCCCCATTTGAGGATCTGCTTCTGATAATTTCTCCTGGGGTCAGTCCTTTTTGGAGAAAGCCAAAGACTAAATGGCCCTGGGAGGTTCCTTCCTACCTATGTACCCACCTGGGCTGCACACAGTACAGGAGCACTGAATTTGGAGTCAGCTGGGATGGGCCCTGGCTCTGTGTCCTAGTCGCAGACTGATCTTCAGCAAGTCCCTGCACCTTTCTGAATCTTAGCCTCTGCAAAATGCAATGGAACCTCCCTACTATCTCCTCATTGCAGACTGTCAGGTTGTACAGAGGTTGGTGATGTTCTTGAGCTGATTTGTTGTTGTTGTTTGGTACTGGGGATGGAACTCAGGGACACTCGACCACTGAGCCATATCCCAGCCCTATTTTGTATTTTATTTCTCAGGGTCTCATTGAGAGGCACTCACTGAGTTGCTTAGTGCCTCGCCATGGCTGAGGCTAGCTTTGAACTCGCAATCCTCCTGTCTCAGCTTCCCAAGCCACTGGAATTACAGGTGTGTGCCATGGTGCCTGGCTTGACTGGTAGTTAAGAGCATGAGTCCTGGAATCAGAAAGCCCAAGTCTGAATCATGGTTCTACCTATGGAACATTTTAGAGCCTCCATTTCCTCATCTGAATAGTGATGCTAATTATAGTTCTTGGCCTCAAAGATGTAAGAATTTAGCCAGTGGTGGCTGCTAAAGAGAGCCATCATGCTGGGAGCTGTGGCCCACGCCTGTACACCCAGGGACTTGGGAGGCTGAGGCAGGAAGATCGCAAGTTCAAAGTCAACCTCAGCAACTTAGTGAGGCCTAAGCAACTCAGCAAGAACTTCTTTCAAAATAAAGGGCTGGGGACATGGCTCAGCGGTTAAGCACCCCTGGGTTCAATCCCTGGTCCAAAAAAAAAAAAAAAGAGAGAGAGAGAGAGAGAGATCCATCAATGAAAGATGAATATCAGGCTTTGACTCTCTGGGCTCACGTCCTGCCAGGCTGGACCTGGAGGAAGTCTTCCCGGCTGGCTGGTGGTTGTCATCTCAAGAGAAGGGCAGTGTGTGCCAGGCCAGCAGCTCCCTTTCAGGAAGGGGGCATTCTGAAGGGCTGAGTCAAGAGCACAGTTTACCTGTTCCGCCTTTCTGAAGTGCTAGGCCGGGTCAAAATGCCCTGAGAGCTGGGTGATTCACCCAGTCATCTAGCCACATGATCAAAAGATGATTGTTGTTTTGGCAAGGAAAGTAGCCAGAATGTATTTAGGGTGGAGCTGAAGAAAGAATCTGAGTTTCAGAACCAGGCTTTTCAGAACCAGAGAAGGTTTGTGGAGCTTGTCAGAGCACCAAGCAGGCCAGCCAGGCCCCTGGAGTGGTGGGACTCCCTTCCTGGTGCCTAAGCAGGATCTGGGCTTTTGTTCATCATAGATTTTCCCAAGTAACTTGCACCATTGGTTCAATTGAATAATTAGGAAGGAGGACCGGCTGAAAATGCAACTATCTCAAGCCTGGGTTCTGTGGTCCACCACTGTAATCCCAGCTACTCAGGAGGCTAAGGCAGAAGGATCGCAAGTTCAAGGCCAGCCTGGGCAACTTAGTGAGGCCCCCATCTCAGAATAAAATAAAAAGGGCTAGGGATGTATTTCAGTAATAGAGTGCCTGACTAGCATGTAATAAGGCATGGGTAGACTCCCTAGTACCCAAACACAACAACAATACAACTGCCATCTCTGCACTCAGAGTCCATACTCCTCTGTTAAGGTGAGATTATTGCTTGTCTTGGTGGCTGTCAGTCTCACTACCCAGTGGCAGCAGCACCCTGCTCTCCTTGTCTAGGTTCCCATGACAAAGAGGAGCCATCCAACATCCCTGGCATGGCCTAGTACCAGGCTGAGATGATTACTTTTTTTTTTTTTTTTGGTGGTGGTGCTAGGGATTGAACCCAGGTCTTTGTGAAAGTGATGCAAGCACTCTACCAACTGAGCTATGTCCCCAGCCCCCTGAGATGATGACTTCTGTCCCTAAAATGCCAACTGTAGGATTGAAGGGCAGCACCCCAGGTACAGAGCCAGGCCTGGGAATCAGGAGACAAGAACACTGGTGTACACTGACCCCTGGCTGAGTGACTCTGAGATTCAGGGCAAATTATTTTCCTCTCTGAATCTAAATTGAGGGACTCCTAATCTAAATTGCCAATGACTTCTTTGCTCACACTGGCCCCTCTGGGCCGGCAGTAAGAATTCTGAGACTGGCTTTCTGGGCTTTGACCAAGAGAAGTCACAGCAACTCTTACCGGTTCGTTCTTGCCAACCTGAATTCGGTAGCGGGAGATGAAGTTGGGTCTTCCAGTGGTGTCCACCACCAGTAGAAGCCCATTGAAGGCCCAGAAGAGCAGACAAGGCACTTGGGTGGTACCTGCAGTTTGAAAGCAGAAGGGAACAATCAGGGTGGCATTGGGCTTTGCAATACACATATTAACTGAACACAAGAGTTAGGGTGACTGTGCCTGGCTGGGGGGTCTTGGTGCTGGACACCAAGGGCCCTACTTAGAGTCCTTGTTGAAAAACCAGCTGTGGGACCACGGACAGGTCACTTAAGGAATATCTGTATTTTTTTTTTATCTTGGCTATAAAATGGGGACAACAATCTTTAAGGTTGTTAGATACAGATGTGCTCACACACACACACACACACACACACACACACACACACACACATCAAAGGGTGTTCCTGCACATCATATACTCTAACAGAAATGATTTGAAATTGGCCTTTGGGAGGCTGTGCCTACAAAGCCTTTATGTACTAACTGGTGAAGTGCTTGGGTATGGAGGGTTCGCAGTGGGTCCTGGTCTAGAAGTCATCTGGGGAACCTGATCTCTGTTACCTAGCATGGAGGAGTGGGACTTCAGGTGTCATCAGGGCTGCATTTCCTGAAGTGTAAGGCTGTCAGCTCTTTCATCAGAGTCTTCATGCCCTACTCTTTTGGAGAACCCTGTCTGGTCCATAAAAGTGTGTTCATGGCTCGGAGAATTCCTACAGCAGGAAACCTGTTTGATTTTGTTAATATCAATCTTTCCCAGCCTTGTTTGACCCTAGAACTGTTTTCTCAGAACATCTAAAAATAGGATGTCACGATGTCACGTGTCCCTGTTTACACAGGATGATTTCAATTTACAGCTGGCATTGTAGAATAATTATGAATAACACCTCATTTTACCCTTATGAGTTTCCTTATTTGGATAATAAATAGTATGTCCTTTTCCACCTATTTTTTCTTTTTTTTTTCCACCTATTAACATTCTACAGCATTGACGTGCTACAGAATATTTCAGAAAATATTCAAAACTTAAAACAGATTTGAGTGGTGCACACCTGTAATCCCAGTGGCTTGGGAGCCTGAGGCAGGAGGATCACAAGATCAAAGCCAGCCTCAGCAATTTAGCGAGGCCCTAAGCAACTTAGTGAGACCCTGTCTTAAAATAAAAAATAAAAAGGGCTGGGGATGTGGCTCCATGGTTAAGTGCCCTGGTGTTCAATCCCTGGTACCAAACAACAACAACAACAAACTTATATTTGTTTCGAGGACAACTTCACTCTGTGTCTCTGCTCCCCCTCCCCCAGCCCCCTCCATCCTCCATCAGTGTCTTGTGGTAGGTAGGACATGGGAGAGACGTGGCCATCACTGTAGGGGCATAGGATTGGTACAAATCATCTGGAGGGTAATTTGGTAGTATCTGAAGTAAAAAAAAAAAAAGTGAGACAGAGACAGAAAGAGAGAAAGCAAGCAAAAACATATAGATTCGTATTCAAACATGTCCATCACAGCATTTTTTTTTAATCATAAGAAAACATTTAAAGCAGACTTAAAGTCCGTTAGTAGGGAATGGTTAATATGTTAGAGTCCTTCCATATAATGGAATAGACTGGGCCGCTGAAAATATTAAGTTTATATTGATTGACATAATGATGTGCCCACAGCCTATTCAATAAAAAAAAATGAGTTTAAAAAAATAGTTGGTGTGCTAAGCATGGTGGTACACGTCTGTAATCCCAGCAATTTGGAAGGAGGATCTTAAGTTTGAGGTCAGCCTCAATAACTTAGTAAGACCCTGTCTCAAAATAAAAATAAAAAGGGCTGGAGATATATAGCTTAGTGGGAAAGCTCCCCTGGGTTAAATTCCCAGTCTATATATACTTGATGTCTGATAGATATCACTATATATCCAATGTATTAGAGATAGATGCACACTAATATATTAATAGTGGTTATTACAAGTTGTCTGATTTTTATTTTTAACAATGAACACATGTATTTTTATACTCAGATATAATAAGTATAATAATATAATAATAAAGTTCTTTTTATGCTGGGAATAAAAATGTTGGGTTGGTAGTTACCCGGGGGTGTAGGGGTGTGTGTGGGATGTCCACTAAAGTTCCTACTTGGAACTATGAAAGTGAGTGGAGGAAGGCAGTATGTAAACCACTATGTAAAATGCCCTTGAACTTCCTTCCAGCAAATGTCTTCTCTCTCTAGTGTTTTTCTTACCTCCCAGATAATAGGTGGTTTATCTGTTTCACGTCACTGAAACAGAAGCATATAATATGATTTCCAGTCACTTTCCCACACGTCTGTGATCTGTTGTCTCTCAGTGGTTGCTTAATATCCCACTGAACCTTGTGAGTTTAATCAGAATTCTCCCAGCTGAAAATGATCCCCAGGGACATTGTTTGTACTTTTGCTTTGGGACAGCTGACACTTTTTTAGGTCAACAGGGGGCACTGAACCCAGGGATGCTCTACCACTGAGCTATGTCCCTTTTCATTTCTTGAGACAGGGTCTTGCTAAATTGCCCCGGCTGGCCTCAAAATTGCAAAACTTCTTCCTCAGTCTCTGTTACTGGGATTATGGGTGTGCCCCACTGTGCCAGGCTGGGACTGACACCTTTTATCTCCCCTTCTGGACTATGACCTAGTTTTTGAATAGGGTAGGCAAATACTTCATCTGAAATATTTCTGTATCTTCAGATAAGTTTGGCATATTGTACTATTCTGTTTTGTTTTGTTTTGGGTACTGAGGATTGAATCCAGCGACACTAGATCACTGAGCTACATCCCCAGCCTTTTTTATATTTTATTTAGAGATGGACTGGCTAAATTGCTTAGGGCCTTTCTAAATTGCTGAGTCTGGCTTTGAACTTAAGATCTTCCTGCCTCAGCCTCCCAAGCAGCTGGGATTACAGGGATGTGCCATCAAGCCTGGCCACATTGTACTATTAATATCATTTGAGTGAATGAATGTGTAATTGAGGATGTTCACTATGATAGGTAATGTTACAAATGTCTAGGTTTAAATGGATTTTTCCTTCCATGATGTTTTCTTAGGCTAGTTTGGAGGCATTTATGCTATCTAAATATTATCAAGTGGCCACTTGCTAAGAACTAGATTGTACCAGGTACAGGAGCACAGCTTAAGACAAAATAGAGTAGTTTTCTGCCCTTGTGGAGTTACATGTAGAAGCAGGATTATGGCTCTAAACATGCATTCATTTTTACATAAAACATTTCTTATTTTTCTATATTTTCAGTAGAGGGTCTTCAACTTTTTTTTAATTAATAATTTTGTCTCCATTTTTAAAAAGTTGTTCTACTTAGTTATACATGGGGTCTTAAACTTCTTAGCTTCTTTTCTTAGATATCCCGTATCTGTACTGTCCTCAAGCTTAGTACTCTTTTGTAGCACCCTTGTCAAGTCCTCATCCCTGGGAATAAAGAACTAAGAAGTCTCCAAGTAGAGAACAAAAGAAAAAGAGTGAAACCAGGCTGTGTGCCCTGCCCTAGGCACTGTGGTCTGGAAACCTCACCTACAATGAAGAGGATCAACTCTTTCCCTTCAAAGGTCGACAGCAGCCTCTCCCACTGGGCTTGCCAAAAGTAGCCAGAAGCACCCCAAAATCGCTGAAGATGCCTTGGAAGAAAATCCATTAAGTTTCTGATTAAAGGCTGATGGGCAGAGAGTTCCTTCCTCCAAGCTCTGCCCCCGACCACACCACCACTGCCCGCAGGTCCTGGATTTGAGCTGGGCCAAGCTGACTTACCATGTAACTGAATTCCAGAAGGCCACAAACAAGAGAAGACCAGAGCCCAAGATGAAAGCCGTCCTCCTCATGGAGCCCCAGATGTGTCCCTCCTGGAGGAGGACAAAGAAGCCTCAGACCCAGCAAGCCTCCTGCCTTCCCCCAGTTCACTGCTGAGACACAGCTGGGACACCACGGGACTATGGTCACTCCACCAGCTGACTTTCTCTCACATCCTGTTGGGGGCTGTTTGCTATCAAAGGTTCTGGGCCATACCTGGGTGTGTTATATAAAGCAGAGCTTCAGGTTCAGAGAGGGAAGGGAATTATTACCATGACCCTGGAAAAATTGTTTGGCAATTTAACATTCAAAGAAAGACAGGCAAGTCTTCCAGCTATTGTGCAATTTGTCACCAGGCCTCTTGGCACATGGAGATAAACCATCCTCTGCACTTTGGAATCACCATTAAAAAAAAAAAAAATATATATATATATATATATATCACAATGCCCAGGGTCCTCTCCAACCCAATTACACAAAGAGTCTCAGGGAGGGCCTGGATCAACCCTTCCAGGAATTCTAATGAACAGGCAAAGTTGAGCCAATCACCAGAGAAGGACCTGCAGAATCTACGAGGAGCAAAACTCTCCTAGGTCAAAGGAGCTCACTGTGTCCATGGGTCAGGCCTGTTTTCCCAGCTCCACCACCCAATCCCTTTGTCTTAGATTAGCCAGGGCTGCCAGCTGGAGGGGAAGATTAGCTGTTCTGAGAGAGGCCATTGTTGAGTGGCCCTTATATGTTCTTTCCAAAAGGTCCTTCTCTGAATCAGAGGTCACTGCGAGCTCAAAGGGCAAAGAGCAAAGTGCCAGACCCAGAGCAGGAAAACACTGGCTTCTAGGTGTGTCACTAATTCCCCTTGCACTATGGATAGGAATGACAAATGTCATACCCATACTGTGTGTCTAAGTCTCTTGGTAAGAGAGAGCTGGAGGTGGTAGTCCCAGCTCATCTACAGTTGGTGAATGAGGTCAGGTACAGGGGGCCAGGAGGGGTTGCTGACTGAATGAGGGTAGGTACAGTTCAATCCAGACCTTCAAGATCTGAGGGTTTTTGAGATGAGGGTCTCCTGTGTGGCCCAAATTGGCCTTAACCTCGTGGTCCTCCTGCCTCAGCCTCCTAAATAGCTGGGATTATTGGTGTGTGCCACCATGTTCAGTTGAGCACATTCAAGCAGTCTGAATTTTCACTGAACTAAATTATTTCTCCTCAACATTACTCCATCCCACATTTGATCAAACAACAACAACAACAACAAAACAAGTCATTTTTCTTTTCCCCATGGCCAATCAGATTTTTGCAGGACTGTGCTTCTCAGGATGCTGAATTCTGGAAACAACTCCTCTTTCTCTCTCTGCCCCCTGCCCCCTCCTTCTTTCTCTCTCTCTCCTTCCTGACCCTCCTCAGACTGTAGTGGCCAGACAGATTGCTCTTCCACACAAACCATTCCGAGGTCAACCTGAGTCACTAAACGGGTTAACTTGGGCTATTCAGATTATTCCCTTTTTAGGATTCCCAAGACTCTTTTCAGGAACTTTTCTTGGGAATTTTTCATCTTCTGAGTATCATCAAACCAAATTAAAACCTCAATTTCATATACAGGATTACAAATTTATCAGGGATGGTGGGTCTTCTAATCTACCTAGCAGCTCCCGGAAATTGTAGAAAGGAGTGGAGCAAGCTACGGGCTGTGGGCGGGCAGGGCAGGGCAGGGAACAACAGTGAGACTGAATCCCCTCCTTCCCTCACTCACTAGGGCAGTTATAAGGGAGTTTGGAGTCAGCTGTCCTCTGTTCAGCCAATGAAATGAGACCATCACCATGTGGCGGCCACCCCTAAACCTTGGGGGAAACCTCAGATCCACACCAGTGCAAATATGGAAAGAACCCCTGGCTACCGTCTTACCAGTATGCTGGGTGGGGTGCTCGCATTGAGCTGCTTGGACTTCCCGACGTTCCCAGCCTCTCCCTTCATCTGGAAAGAGAAAGCACGGGTAAGCGGGTTTCCTTCCACAGGCAACTGAGCAAAGGGGGAATGGAAGAAGTCAAGCCTGGCAGGGGTTTTTATTTTTATTTATTTATTTATTTTGGTACAAGGGATTGAACCAGGGGTGCTTGGTTATTGAGCCACATCCCCAGCTCTTTTTATTTTTTTTTATTTTGATACAGGTCTTGCTGAGGTTGACCTGAAACTTTGGATCCTCCTGCCTCAGCCTCCCGAGTTGCTGAGATTACAGGCATGCACCTGGCTAAGCTGGCAGCTTTTGTCCCTGGAACCAGACAAATTATTCCAAAATTTATACAGAGAAATAAATAAGCAGGAAATAGCTAGAAAAAGGCTGAAGGAGGCTGAAGGAAGAGGATCTCGAGTTTAAAGCCAGCCTCAGCAATTTAGCAAGGCTGTAAGAAACTTAGTGAGACCTTGTCTCAAAATTTAAAAAAATTAAAAATACAAAGGGCTGGGGATATGGCTCATGGTTAGGTGCCCTGGGTTCAATTTCTCATACCCCCCCCAAAAAAAATTCCAGTGTTAAACTTAAAAGCTGATAAACACATGTTAAAAACTGATAACATCTCTAACAGCCCAGAGGAGGCACTGTCCAATGTATGTGCTGAATTAGATATTTCTTATTTCTGAACATACAGACATATTGAATAAAATTTTCCTCTGCTTATCCCAGTCAACGTGTACATACATAAACTCCTTTGAATTTTAGAAAAACTTTATTCTAAGTAGATTAGGTAGTACTTTGGTACTACAATTTTGGTCTAACTTTGGTAGAGGAAGATTATTTCATAAAAGTTTGTCAACAACATCCACAAAAATATGTCCCCTACTTTTATATGAGATGTTAGTCTGATAACAGACTTTCTGGAATTTCCCGATAGACTTTCTAACTTTCTAACATGTCTATGATGTACACCTAAGCAATATCTCAGAGGCAAGAGATATTTTAAATAAAATTTTGAAAACTGGGAATGTTGCTCAGTGGTAAAGGACCCCTGGGTTCAGTTCCCAGTACTGAAAAAAACCCAATTGCCCATCAAAGCAAAGACCTTTTTCCAGGCTAGATTCTTCCATGGATTCCTATAATCCTGCCTGGGGCGGCTGAGGCACACCCACATTCAGCCACTGCTACTCATAATAGCCCAGGGACAGAAGCAAGCACATGTCTGAGGATGGCTGAAGAGATAAAATTTTGTGTGCACATAGGATAGAATTTTATTTGGCCTTAAAAAAAGAAGCAAATGGGCGAGTGTTAAGCAAGTCATAATAAGTGAAATAAGTCACACAAAGAGAAATACTGCATGAATCCACTTTCTGAAGTAAGGTACATAAGGTAGTCAAATTCATAGAACCAAAAAATTAAGTGATGGTGATACGGGGGGTTGGGTGGGGAGGGAAAATGTGGAATGGTTGTTGAATGCATATGTGCATCAGTTTTGCAAGATGAAAAGGCTCTGGAGATCAACAGATGTGAGCACATTTAGCGCTGCTGGACCAGACACTTAAAAATGGCCAAGATGGTGCCAGGCAGCGGAGGTGGTGCATGCCTGTAATCCTAGCGATTTGGTAGGCTGAGGGAGGAGTTTTGTAAGTTCAAAGTCAGCCTCAGCTTAGTAAAAACTTGTTTCAAAATAAAATTAAAAATAGGGCTGGGGAAGTAGCTCAGAGATAGAGAGTATGCCTGGGTTAAATCCTTGGTACCATAAATAGATAAATAAATAAATACTGACAATTAATTTTATATTTTATACCACAGTTTGGGGAAAAAAGCTTTAATAACTAAAAGTGAAGTGCTAGTATTTATTTTGGTCGGGGGGTACCAGGGATTGAACTCAGGGGCACTTGACCACTGGGCCACATCCCCAGCCCTATTTTGTATTTCATTTAGAGACAGGGTCTCACTGAGTTGCTTAGTGCCTCACTTTTTTTTTTTTTTTGCTGAGGCTGGCTTTGAACTTGCTATCTTCTTGCCTCAGCGCTGAGATTATAGGTTTATAGGCGTGCTCCACCGTGCCCCACTTTGAGTTGATTTTTGTATGTGGTGTAAGGAAGGGGTCCATCTTCATTCTTTTGAATGTGAATATCCAGTTGTTCCCACTCCATTTGTTGAAAACCATTCTCTGTCATTGAATTGTGTCCCAGTCCAACCCCCCCCCCCACCCAGTCACACTGAATTGAATTGTCATTGAAATGTCTATTGGCAACAAGAGTGTTTTTTATGTGGTTGAAATGTGGGGCCATATGAATGTGTTAACTGGTCAAAACTTCCAATTCTAATTTTAAAAATTATGATTGATAATCAGAAGGCACTTTCTCCTCCATCATTCTGTCATCTTGGCAGACATCACCCAGCATCTGTCACCTGAGCCTGGACAAAGCTCACAGGCACAGCCACAGCCAGGGCAGGCATGTCAGTCCAGAGGAGGTGGCCCAGGTTAACCCTGTGGCACCCTTGGTGCTTAGGGTCATCAGGTGGCTGAAGAGGAGCATTACAGCTCATTAGGGGGCAGGGATGACAGAGCCCAGACTAAGGGAGACCAGGTGAGCTCCCAGAGTCTATAGGTGACATGCCAGAGAGCCAGGATCAGGCCTAGCTTCCACGTGGGACTTCGTGCCCCTTAGTTTCCTTTCTACAGGTATGTATTGTTCTTGGTTTTATTATTTCAGAGGCTGGTGAAGGCGATCCCCCACTCACTGTCTTGACAGGGTCACAGTGAGAAAAAGTGTTGGCAAAGCCTCTCTCCCACTGTCTTGACAGGGTCACAGTGAGGATGAATGCTGGCAAAGCCACTCTGGTTGGTGGGAAACCGAAACCATGAGACCCTTTTTTATGTAATTGGGACTTTGCATTTTCATGCTTATGTTTCTAACAGGAGGCATGAGTATGTTAAATGCCAAACAAATTAAATTTCAGATAGCTAGAACAGAACAGGTAGTTCATGCCTTTGAGGTTGTTCTACTACCCCTCATCATATCAAGGACAAAGTAGAAGGCTGTTCTTCTATCTCAGTACACTGTGGACAAACCTGATAATGGACAACAATCATCCTTTGAAAGGACATGGGAATTTTAGGCACCACATTGATTATATCAACTAGAACCCAAGCCCATATTTCCAGCCTCTTAGAAAACCTAATCATTATGCTTATTTTACAAAGTTCACCACATGCAGTCTCATTTTTGATTAAGGAAAGTTATATTATACACTTAGGAAAGTTAAAACATATAAAGATATATTCTTCTCTTTTTATAAACTCTTTCTTACTTTACATAGGGATATATGATGAGCATAGTTAATATTGGTGGAAAGTGGATTGATTTTTAGAACTTACTTTCTATTGAGAAAGATTATAAAGATATGAGAACTAGGGGCTGAGGATGTGGCTCAAGCGGTAGCGCGCTCGCCTGGCATGCGTGCAACCCGGGTTCGATCCTCAGGCACCACATACCAACAAAGATGTTGTGTCCGCCGAGAACTGAAAAATAAATATTAAAAATTCTCTCCTCCTAATTCTCTCCTCTCTCACTCTCTCTTTAAAAAAAAAAAATTAAAAAAAAAAAAAAGATATGAGAACTAGTGCACCTTGACTGAGAAACAAAGAAACTCTTTAAGAAATCAGCTCAATCAGTTTTATGAGAATAAATTTAGGAATTAATTAAAACAGCTTTATAAGACACAGTTTTAGAATAATGTTAGAAATATTATTTTATTTAGATTCTTAAGTTTAGAAATTCTTAACTTTGTAGTTGTATAGGTTTCTGATATGTTTTAAGAATGATTTATAAACTTTAGGATGTTTTAAATATAAGATTTAAAGGGACTTTTTTAGATGGGAATTTTAGATTAGAAATAAAGTACAAGTGTACTTTAGGTTAATGATTGGTTAGGAGACGTAGAGTCTGGTTACGTAGTTTGGCATTAGTTAATAAGAAAATAACATATCTTGGGAAAAATAGTAAATCTTGGGAAAAATAGTAAATCTTGGGAAAATCTGAAAAATGTAAATTAGTGACGTATTTTATTAATGATTCTGTACTTTTAATAATTACATAACTGAAGGTCATATCCTGGAAAAATGTAAATTAATGTTACATTTTTTGTACCCCCAATCATGGTTAAGGAAATATCATGTCTTGGCAAAGTTTTAAATTATATAATCAATGACGTATTTTGAATCTATAATGATGAGAAAAATTGTAATAAAAGATGATCCAGAGAAAGCTGCATTAGCTCTCTCTCTGGAGATTGCTCCAACTGAATGACTCCTGTCTTATCTTTTTGCCGACGTCACTCATCCTTCAGGACTCCCTGGACCCCGCTAGGGCAGGACCCTGGCAAGAGGCATAATGACCAGTTGTGACTGTGGGGAATACTGCTCCCCTTGATCCATCATCCTTATTGACTGCTTAGTCTGGAGGGAAAGGCAGAGAGAAGGGAAAGTAGCTTTCCAGTGTGTGAGGAGTTGGGACATCAGAAGGAGTCGCCAAGCAAGCTGAATTCCAGGAGGCACATCCTGTCAGCCAAGAGGCTTCCAGGGGAGAACTGCTGATCCCTCTAAAACCACTCAGGGAGGCAGCCTCTGACTCAGGACAAGTCTCCGCAGACTTGGTGTGTGGGTCTGACTCCCATTTGGAGCCAGGACAATGGATTTCAGCTACGCCATAGGACAGGGCTCTGTCCCTACCCCTGAGCCTGCTCCCTGCTCTTTCCTCCTACACCCTTCCACACCACTGCCTGGCTGACTGCAACCTGCTGTGGCTTGCCCATATGCCGCACCTGCCTCAACAGGAGCTCTTACGAAAACCAACAAAAGAGAAGCAGGAGAGTGAAGCTGTGGCCTTGGCTCCCAGTTCTGCTGGGGTAGCAGCTCCTCTGTGCACCTGTGCGCCGTCCTGTTCTGCACTGCCTAAGCCTTCCAGAAGGATGGGTGTGAAGCATTTCACCATTCAGCTCCAACCAGCGGCAA